ATATATATATATATATATATATATATATATATATATATATATATATAAGTTTACCAAGGGACTGAATTAGTTACAGACCATTAGCTGATCAGTATTTCTGAAAATACAGTTGCATAGCCACTTACATTGTGTTAGGTGGTAAAATTAATACAGAGCTCACAGGAAGCATGAAAGACGATGTGTGAGAATTACATGCAAATACTTCATCTCTACATACGCGACTCGAGCACCTGCTGATAGGATGTCTGACAGCGTCCTGGCACCAACTTCTACAGTGACTCTGAAGAATGGCTCTCCTAGGATGCTGTGCGCTGTCCCTGAAAGGTGGATTTGCTAGATGCTCTGTAGTCCAGCAGGCAAGCTGGCTCTTGTCTCAGGCACAGTTCTCCTGCTCACGTCTGTTTCTGTCCTGCTTTCTTCTGAATCATTTATTCTAGGTTCTCTCACTCCACTGGAGTCTCCCGTCTTCTCATCCTGACCTCTGCTGGTCCTTGGACACCGACTTTTGACCTAAGCAAACTCAGAGTCTGTGTGCTTCTTGGCTAACTGTGTGGCCTCTCTGTAACTGTCCATCCACCAAGCTCAGTGCACGAGGAGCCCATGGTGGCCCATCAGCACATCCTATCAGGCTTATTGCTTTAACCACCATCTCCAAACTACTCCTTTTTCAAATGGCATTAACAAACAATTAAGCTCACTGTGTGGAGGCTGTCTGTTAAGGGTCTTTACATTCATTAATTTATCCAGTCTATATTCCCACCCCCAATTCTGTGAATTAGATTTTAGTTCCTGTCTTGCAGACAGGCAGCATGAAGTCACAGTGCTGGTGAGTGAAAGGATTAAGGACTGGAAATATCAGTGGACCCCCACAGCCTGCTTTTAAAACTACCACCCACAGCTTAAACCAGACCATCTCTTGACTACAGCACACAACAGCTACTTCTTTTGCTACTACCTTTTCCATCCTTCTGTCAGCTTTCCACATGCAGGCAACATTAAGAGCACTGGCCGCTCTTCTAGAACACCCGTGGTCAGTTCCTAGCACCTCCAAACAGCTGCCTGAACTCTAGCCCTAGGAGATCTGACATCCTCTCTGGCCTCCGTGGCCACACACACGACATACACACATGAATTCACATGGAACTGGAGAGATGGCTCAGAGGTTAAGAGCACCGGCTGCTCTTCCAGAGGTCCTGAGTTCAATTCCCAGCAACCACATGGTGGCTCACAACCATCTATAGTGAGATCTGGTGCCCTATTTTGGCATGCAGGTCTACATGCAGGCAGAATACTGTATAAATAGTGAATAAATGAATCTTTAAAAAAGTTAGCACATAGATGTGTATTTGTATATGTATATAATGTAACACTACTAAGCAATGCATTGTACTAGTCCATTGTTGGGGTAGCTATTAAGATCACTGGCCACTCTTCCAGAGAACCTGGGTTCAGTTTCCAATACTCCTGGCCCAGGGCATCTGATGCCCTCTTCTGGTTCCTGTGAGCACCAAGTACACATGTGCTGTGCAGACATACATGTAGATAAAACAGACATGTACATAAAATAAGTTAATATTTTAAAGAAGCTCATTATCCCATGTATGTGAAATTCTAGATAATGTAAGCTAGTGTATACAGTCAGAGAGTTGATGAGCGCTTACTTATTTTTTATTTAAGCTTTTAAATGATTTTATTTCTGTATGTGGAGGTGGGAGAGCAGAGAGCAGGCATTCATGGACCACATGGAGCACATGCAAAGTCGAAGGGCAGCTTGCAAGAGTCAGTTATCTCTTTCTACGACGTGGGTCCTAGGGATTTGCTCTGCTTATGTAATACATGCTATTAATAGTTCATTTTTTTAAGCTTTCTTTATTTGGAACTTCATGAAAAGTACAAAGCCTTCTATAACTTGTGTTCCTCACTTATTTTTTGAAAGACCTATTCATGTAGTTTTAGATAACCATGCTATCCATTTTCTCTCTTGCATGTTACTGTATGCACTGTATATATAATCTATAAATATGTAAATAGTACATAGTTAACTTGCTCACTCTTCAGTTGAACTATTTTCAACTTTATCATTATTCATGTCATAAGCATGCTTCTTAATCTACTTTGAGGCTTGTGAGCAAAGTTTTCTTGAGTTAAATTGGTGTGAAGTCATCATATAGAATGTCGAATTACTCTGTTGGTCAAACTGTGATTTTTGCCATTCAGGCAAACAAAAATCTCATGTTAGATTCTTAATTTTACATTTATCTAATTACTGGTGTTTCTGTAAATAATGTAGCACTGATATAGTTATTAATGACTTTGAACATCTCATACATTTATTTCCTTCTGTGAAACATTTGTTTCTGGTTTCTTCAGTTCTCTTTCAGATTGTTTATCTATGGTCTTTTGTTGGTTAGATGTAATGTAAATATGCCATCTTGAGTTGCATCCAGGTGGGCGACACAGTGAACTGGTCTGTTTCCTTGAATGACAGCAGCCACTACTCACTGTGGCCAGTTGCCATAGAAATGCAGACCCCATGTGTCCGTGTCTTCCAATTAAAAAAAAAAAAAAGGGATTTAGGTGGAGGAACCCCTCCACCACCATTACCACCACCACATTTCTCCCCGGGTTTTCCAGTTGCTCTTTATCAAGCTGTGAACAAAACGTCTGAGAAAGAGCCCAAGAAACCCTCATTGTTTAAGGGTGGACAAAAGCAAATTCAGAGATATAAGAGACAAGCCAGAGAATCTTGCCATGCAGTCATCCCCCTTACCCATGGTAGAAAGAAGATATTAGATATATTGTCAGACACATGAGTACTGGTGCTCCAAGTCACTAGACTTTTGGTTCAGAAGACCAGTAGAGTTTTTAGTGACTGTGTCCAAGCCAGACTCTTTGGGGAGTCCCTTTACACCCCTGGCTTTATGTTCCAAGACTATTACAGGCTATCTTTCCTGCTGTCTGCTTCACATAGCGGAGCCTTGAGCCTGGGCAACAGATTCAAGAAAATAGGTTAGGAATGGCTGTTCCAGGGCTTGTCCGGTGCTGTGTTCATTAGGAATGGTGTCTACCTGATGGATACTTCAGCACTACTGACGTGGAGCCTTAAGGTGAAATTTGGGGGTATTGACTTAACTGAGTGTGCTCCCTGAAAAGACAGCTCCTAGTATTTATGCATCCACCTTTCGGGGCTGGGATGGCAAGGTCAGGTCTTTGTGGTCAAGGCCCATGCAGGAATGAGTGAAGTAACAGATGTGTCCTTTTGTCTGTTTGCTAGCTGAGTGTGTACGGAAACTCCAGTTGGCACTTTGACGAAGTACGAAAGCAGTGTTATTTTCACCAGTTTTTGAAAGAGCAACCAGATTTAAATTTCCGAAATCCTGCTGTTCAAGAAGAAATAAAGGTGAGTGAGGACAACCACATAGGCTTCTCCATTAGTGGGAACCTAAGTGGCTATTTGAGCTGCTCTGTGTTGAGTGAAAGTCTGTGTGTCACTAAATTCTTAGGTTAAGGTGTCAAATATAAAGGCAAATATTGATCTAACCCCGAATAATGTAAACAACAAGGGACTTAAGCTGGAGGTACTCCTTGGCCTGAGGCAGTTGGCTGGTGTGGGTTGCTGGGTGAGAACACAGGCTTTGGGAGCTGGTTCCTGCATGTGTGGTGGGCCTCTGGTGAATTGTTTGCCTTTTTCTGATCTCAGACGCTCAACCTATGAAACACAGGTGGTGATACTGTGTTTATTCACAAGATGGGATGAGATAACCCATGCATAGTACTTCCATATTCCCTCACTAAATGCGGCTCTATTATTGCTTGCTCTGAGCCAGGCTCTGCCCTGAACATTGACACTACCAGGGGGACAATGACATAACTGCATGCGTGACACTTGAGGTGATTCTGGAGGCTTTCTTAGGGAAAGGGATGTTGGCATACCAGGGTGAGTTTGCTCTTCCATGGGGGAGGAGGGCGTGTAAAAGACACTGCTCAGTAAAGGAGCTGAAGGGAAAAATGGGGCCAAGAGAATGAGAGTTCTAGCTAGAGAGAAAGACAGACAGAGAGGGACACAGAGACAGACAGACAGAGAGGGACAGAGACACAGAAAGACAGAGACCCAGCCAAAGAGAAACAGATATGAGAAAGAGGTAAAAATCCCAAGTTCAAATATGAATTTGAAATGAGAGGAAAAATCTCAAGTTCAGAGAAAGACAGAGATAAAGATAGAGCAAAGAGAGATGAGAGAGAGAAACACAGACAGACAGAAGTAAAAATCCCAAGTTTAGGGCTAGAGAGATAGCTCAAAGGTTAAGAGCATGGCTATTCTTCCAAAGGTCCTGAGTTGAATTCTCAGTTACCACATGGTGGCTAATAACCATCTATCGTGAGATCTGGTATGCAGGCACAATGTTGTATAAATAATAAATAAATCTTTTTTTTTTAAATCCCAAGTTCAGAGAGAGAGACAGAGAGGTGAGAGGGGTAAAAATCCCAAGTCCAGTTTTAAATTTCAGATAATGAATAATGCATTTGTTGGTTACTTGATATTAAGATTTAACTCTCTGTCCTGCATGTTAACTTGTAGCCTCTCTTGTGAGCTGGTGAGACCAAAGGGTGATGGGCAGGGAGCCAGATCTAAGAGATGTGGGCTAGTCAGATTTGCAGGGCACATGCCAAGTCACTGAGGTTCCTCTGTGGCCCTAGGACGGGGAGGTTCCCATTGCCACCATTGCGGACTCCCCCTGGAAGGCTCCTTACTCTCAGCTGGAGGTAGAGCTGTGTTCCCACTCTCCATATGCTGTGGGTGGAGCACATGGGAATTGTGGGGAGTTGGGTATGCTTGGAGGGAGCAGGTGGGAAGAGACAGGACAGGACAATTCTAGTCAAGAATCAGCTATCCATAGAAGCTTTGCTTTATTTCTAGGCTTTTAATTCTGTTCCATTCTCCTATATCTCGGTTTCTATGTTGGGTCCACTGTCTGGTGAGTTTTGTAGTAAGTTTTGAAATCAAGAAGTGTGATTCTGCCAGGTGTGGTGATGCTCCACTTTTAATCCCAGTGCTAAGGAGGCAGAGGCAGGAGTGAGTTTGAGGTCATCCTGGTCTAGCCAGGACTATAAAGTGAGACCCTGTCTAATAAACAAAGGAACAAACAAACAAGCATTAGTCCAGGTTTGGTTTGGGCATTGCTTGAGTATACTGAGTCCTTTGCATTACCATATAAATTTTTACAGCAGCATCTCAATCTGTGCAAAAAGGTCTGCTGGCATTTTAATAAAGACTATATCAAATCTGTAGCTCATTTTGAAGAATATTGGTATCTTCATATTGAATATTCTAATCTATAAACATGGTATGCCTTTCTATTTATTTAAATGTTCTTCAATTTATTTCCTCACTTCTGGTTTTTTCCTCCCTTCCTCCCTCCCTCCCTTCCTTCCTCCTTTCTTTTCTTTCTTTCTTTCTTTCTTTCTTTCTTTCTTTCTTTCTTTCTTTCTTTCTTTCTTTCTTTCTCTTTCTTCCTTCTTCCCTTCCTTTTTATCTTCCTCTGTCCCCCAGTCTCTCTCTCTCCTCTTTCTTAATACTTTTTAGCTTTTCTCACTCTAGACAAGTCCTTTACCAACCACTGAACTACATCTCCATCCTCAGCATTCTGTATTTCCTTTTAGATATTTATTCCTGTGGACTCTTTAAGCTTAAGACCATTTTCACATGTGTGAAGTTTCAATGTCTTGCTTAGGAGTTTGTTCTAGAAGCAAACTTCTTGGGTCAGAGAACACCTATCTCAGTTAGGTTCATAGTAAGTAGTTTTAGTCAGCATACTAAAAGGGTTAGTTTTAATCTTAGTGTTATGGACTCTCTTCTATTGCCAATACATCCCTTGTCCTTGCCCATACTTATTGTCATTTACTGTATGACAAGTAATTTACCTAGCTCTGTTGAAGCTCATAAGCTACTGTAGAGAAGGAGCCTTCGGGAGGTGAACTGCTACTTTTTGAGAGACATGCATAAGGATTCAAACCTAGGTTTGGAGGCTTGAGTTCAGCATTCTGACCAAAGCCCAGGTCCTATTTTGGGGTGCCATTTCTTTCTGTATGCTTCTCTTTACTTGCAGTTTTCAGTTAGAAACTCATAAATATGTCAGCCAGTCGGTTTACCAGGTGGTGGACTCTCCTTCATCCTACGTCACTATCTTGGAGTGACAGTGATGAATGTTTGCAGATGTTTAAACAAGTACTACCTATTTTGACACAATGTGTTGTTGGATATATTAATGATTCTTTGACTAACTTGGCAGTTATCTTGCACTCATCCAGGCAGTGGGATCTGTGACTAGAATTCTTACAAACTAGTCCCTTAGAATGAAAGCCTGCCTGTCTGGGTCATTACTACTTTATCCAGAGGTTAAACATTATTTTGAAGGCAAGTCAAGATTCACTATTAGGAGTAAATATGAAATGTGGAGAGGCTGAGAAGTGGGGCTCCCGGAATGGACCTTTCTCAGAAGAGCGTTTCCAACGCCCTCCTGCTCCCCCTACCCGCAGCACCTATCTGTGCAGGGTTGCTGAGCAGGTTAATCATTTGCAGCTTAGGTGGTTAGCAGTGAGGAGGTATCTGAATGGATTTCTGTTCACATAGCAATTTGAACCTCTGGAGCCTGGACCTGCTCTCCTCTGGGTGCTACCAGCTTTCAGCTGTCGCCCCATAGCAGACTGGCACACAGAGGTCTTTGAGCATGGGCTATCCCCCAGCCTGTCCCCCACCCCCACCCATGCCAACCTGGTGGCTTTTATTCCCAGTGGCTGTCAGGACTTGGCTTGTGGCCTGAACTCAGGGCCTGAATGCCTCCATTTGGAGGAGTTAGAAGGTCCCAGAGGAGCTGGGGACTTACATTAGATAGTAGTATTTTGTAAACTTCCAATAACTCTGGATTCTACTTGTCTTCTAAACCGACCTTCTCCCCCCTTTTGATGGATGAGGAAACAGCAGGGTACAGTTGAACCAGTGGAATACCAAGGATGTTTAGCAAAAGGCTCCTGGCTGCCTTACTTCTATCTGGATTCAGAAGGATCTTGGAGCAGAAATATGGGAAGGCTGAGCCCTACTGTGAAGACTCCTTGGATGGAAAGGTTCTTAGTAGCTGGGCATGAGAAGCTGAGAGGCATTCCCAGCTCAGCATCAGAACCCATAGCTAAGTGTGGACTCTGCTCTGCCCTTGGTGAGCACAGGACTGCTGGAGATAAGCATTTCAATTCAAAATACAGTTCTCTCACTGCCTGCTCTAAATGCCAGCCCCATGGCTTATCAATGATAATTGCATAATATTGCACTCATGTGTGCCAGGTGCTTCATTTTCCTCATGCAGTCAGCTCTGTGTGTGGCATGTTGACTGAAGGCCAGGAGATGGTGGGTAGAAGACACGTGGTAGAGCTGTGAAGGTGTTTGAGTTCCAGAGGAGAGGTAGACAACAGGACAGAAAACACAACAAAGTATGGTGTGTGTCATGACAGAAGGAAGAGGGCAAATAGATACCCAGGTTGGACATGGCGCAGGAAGGTTGGGGCAGGGGGTCACAAGAAGGCAGCGATGCTCAGTGGTTGGGCTGCAATGAGCCAAGTGAAGAGGCACTGGGGTTTCAAGCACAGGGAAAGCATGAATCCTATATGAGTGGGATGTGATATACATGGAAGGGCATGTGACTCAACAAAACTAAGGGACCCAAGGGTCAAGTTAGGAGCAGTCCCCAAAAGTCCTGGCAAGAACCCCAGTCTAAACGTTTTCAGAGAGGAAAATGATTGTTGATTCCCATTTTTATACATCAGTCTGTTATTAGAGAAGGAGTAGGAGGAGGGCAGCTTTAGAGGCAGAATTCGGAGTGCAGCAATATGGAAAGGAATTCTGGTAGACTTGGGCCTACAGGAGTGACTGGGGGCGGCCAGAGAGCTCACCAGGCTGTAGAGAGGAATCTAGGGTTTCCTGAGGTGGGAGGGTGTTGCTACCGTGTTCTGAATTGAAAAGAGGGAGGGTGTGTTGTTTGTGCAGCATCGGGGATCCCCGGGAGCTGCCCAGGTGTCCAGTGGATACTTTGGTTTATAAGTACACAGTGCCAGGGCAAGATGTGCTCTAGAGATAATGCAGTGTTTGCTGACATAGGGATAGTGTCTCCAGAGCTCAAGCAGATCACGGTGACAGAAGCAGGCCAGCTGAGGTGAACAAGGATGTTGATCATCTTAACATGGGAGTGAGGGCTATGTTGGCACATCCTTCAATTAAAAAGAAAAAAAAAAGTGCCATTTGGTGGTGTCACGCCTCTAATCCCCACACTCTGGAGGCAGAAGCAGTCAAATCTCTGAGTTCAAGGCCAGCCTGGTCTACAGAGCAAATTCTAGGACAGTCGGGGCTACACAGAGAAACTTTGTCTCAAAAAAACAACAAAAGGGGGGTACTAATGAGGTGACTCAGCAGGTAAAAATACTTGCCAGCAAACTCAACCGCTTGAGGACCTGTGTAAGGATGAAAAGCCAGAACCGACTCCACAGATTTTCCTTTGACCTACACTCCCATGCTGTGCCGCGCACTTGCCTTCCACATAATAACAAACAGTTAAAATGTAAAGAATGGAGCCAGACAGAGCAAACAGGTAAGGGTTGCAAATGGCCCCAAGTCCAGCCCCGCCCTTCCTAAGTTTATGACCTTGGCCCAGGCATTCCATCTCCCTCAGCCTGTTTCCTTGTTCATAAAATAGGAACAATAATTGTGCACTGCTTAGGATTTCAAGGGTAAGTCTCTGTAAAGCATTTAGAACAGTAGCATTATATGTATATATATTTGTTTTTAATGATAGTCATAATAGGATATAGTCAGAAAATAAATAATCTGTCTCAAAGATGGAACCTCTTAGAGGTCTGTAGAAGGAACCACAAACCACTTTTAATCCCAGCACTACTCAGAAAGACAGAGACAGGTGGATCTTTGTGAGTTCCAGGCCAGCCTGCTCTACAAAGTGAGTCAAGGGCAGCCAAGGCTACACAGAGAAACCCTGTCTTGAAAAACAAACAACAACAACAACAAAGAGCTAAATAGAGACTGGTCACCAGATTTCACACTGCAGAGACCAAGAGTGGATTTACAGACTGCAGGGTTGATGGGCTGCTAGGAAATCCCCCTCTGCTCTCTCAGAGCTCCTAAAGGTGGGTGCTCTTCTAATGATGAAGGTCTAGCGGAGTCTCATAGGTTCTGTAGTACAGATAGCTGTACTGTAGAGCCACTGGGCTCTGGAACCTTGAGCTTCCCCTTCTTCTTGCCCCCTGAAAAATCAACCAAGCTTTTCTCCCATATTTCTGGGCAGCAGCAAGGAACTTTTCTTCTCTTGCCTGTAAGCAGAGAAGAAAAGTTTCCCTGCTTCCCCTGTACTTGTGAGAATCTATTTTGTCATCCCTTCCTGAGATAGATTCCTGAGACTGATGTCATTTTAAGGGGACATGCTGTATGTCATTAAATATAAGATATTTCTCCATGAGGCTGGAGAGATGGCTCAGTGGTTAAGAGCACTGGCTGCTATTCCAGAGATCCTGAGTTCAGTTCCCAGTAACCACATGGTGGCTCATAACCATCTGTCACTGTAGTCCCATGGGGTCTGGTACCTTCTTCTGGTGTGCAGATACACATGCAGACAAAACACCCACAGACATAAAATACGTAAATAAATCTTAGGAAAAAAAAAAGAGCAGAGCCACTGTGTTTCCCAATTTTGACTATGGTCCCACTTCAACCATTTTTTAAAACAAAACAAACAAACAAACAAACAAAAAGCCTTTAAGGTTAGCTAGGTGAGCCTGGGATACAGACCAAACCAACCAGCTAACTGACACTACAATGGCCCTACATGGGCCAGCCTCCTTGACTTGGGTGTCACAAATGTTGGCTCAATTTCTCAGAGTGTTGTTTTAGCAGAGAAAAGATTCCCAGTGGGAACCAGGACACTGTGGTATCATGACAGCCAGAGAAGAACCGAGGACACGGTGTACTGTTCCCAGAGTTCCCAAGTCTGGGTCACCCAGACCAGGTGGAATCAGGCGCTGTGCCCATTTCCACATGCAACATTGGAAGATTGGATATAAAGCGGCAAGAGCTTGATCCGGAGTGAGAGCTTGATCCGGAGTGAGAGGAGGCTAAGAATTAAGTTGAGAGAATAAGTAACACAAGCGAAGTACTTTTTAAGAGCAAACTTTGGAACTTGTGGGTGGAAACGTCAGCAGATCAAATGTCTCGGCAGAACTGGGTGTGTGGCTCGGTGGCTGAGCACTTTCCTAACATCCCTGGAGTCCTGGGCTTCCTTTCTGGCTCACAGAAATACCTCATGAGACAATGAACCTAAGTGTGAGGATCCCTCCAGGGTTCCAGGGCACTCATTTCACGTGCTGTATTTTTTAAGTTTAGTTTTCATTTTTGTCATGTCTCTATGTGTCTATATGTGGTGGATATGTGCACAGGAAGGCAGGCACCCCGGAGGCTGAGAGGCATTCAGATCAGTTTGGCGCTGGAGCTATAGGCAGCAGTGAGCCTTCTGACGTGGTGCCAGACACCCAACTCAGATTCTCGGCAAGAATCCTTTGTGCTCTTAACTGCTTAGCCACCTCTCCAGCTGGCATTTCTCACTCTTTAATGGAGGTTAATATTTAGCAACGCTGAGAGTCTGCAGTGAACGAGGAACTCATGAAGAAGGGAGGTAGCTTGACCCTGAAGAGTCCGCACTCACCTGCTTACTGTTGGCAGTAACTGACACTAACAGGATGCAGGATGATGATACCCTGTCAGACGTTGCTTGGGTGGCTTACAGATCCTGTGCTCTGACCTGACCAGTGTTCATGTTCGTGAGACGAAACACCACATGGGGTTGCACCTAGGTGGTGGGGCACCTGATGCTTGGGAAAACTGGGGGCTTCTTAGAAATGAAGAGTATAAAGGGGAGTATATAAATACGAGGAAGTGGAGGGGAGGAGGTTCCAGGGCAAGGGTAGAGCAGGCTTAAGTTTAGGCTTAGTCCTAGTGAGTTGGTCCACAATGGTCTGAGAACCCTTTCCACAAACCAGCAGCCTCCATGTGCCCAGCAGGTCTGGCATGTGTGGCATCTTTCTGTTGCGTTCCCCACCCCAGCACCGGCTCACCTCCTGCACCCCCAACTCTCTGTGCATCTCTGTGGTCTATAGAATCTATGCACGCACTGAGCTTCCTCATCGTTCTGACTCTGAGAAGCTTTGTCTGTTTTTGTCATCATTGTCTGGCCTGCCACACCGTCTTTGAGCCAGCCCCCCTTTCTCTTTCTATGGATTTGCCTATTGTGGACATTTTGTATAAAGGAAAATACTCGATATTTATTCTTTGTATTTAACAAAATGCTTCTAAGATTCATACGTGTCCCAGCATGCACTAGTACTTTCTCCTTTTCTGTGGGCAGGTAATATTTGTCCTATGATGGGTTTACTATCAGGTAGTTTCCACTTAAGAACCCTGTTACCATGAACATTCAAGTTTTTGTTTCGATACATGTCTTCATTTCTTTTGGGTATGTACCTAGGTGTGGAATTGCTAGTCATACATCAACTTTATGTTTAACCTTTTTAGTCAGATCACAGCGTTTCCTTCTTGAAATCTCCCAGGACTTTCCACCCACCCTTCCCAGTTCCAAGTTTTTCCGATTCACTGTAAAGCCAGCTATGACAAGTCCAGTTTCTCTGGATATGCTGTCCTTTTTTTTTTTTTTTAATTGCTCAGGGAACCTGACTGCATTTCCATAGCTGTTCTCTGCCTGGAATGCTCCATCACCAGACCCAGCGCCTGGTACCGAGAAAACCTGTTACGGGACGAGAACGTGAAGTTGTGTGTGTGATAATATGTGTCTTGTATGTGGAAGTGCCTCTCTTCTGATGGTCACTCTGCTAATATCCTGGCTATGGTTTGTAGTTGACGTAATCAAGGGTTTTGCCTCTTCATATTCAGGAAATAATACAGTTCTGGCTTGCGAAGGGTGTTGACGGCTTCAGTTTCAATGCAGTGAAATTTCTTTTGGAAGCGAAGGACCTGAGAAACGAAATCCAAGTAAACACATCCCAAATTCCGGTAAAGTGTCATTTTAAACTTTTTTTTTTCTTTGCCTTATCTGAAAATGTTATCAGACTGTTTTTTAAGTTTTGTTATTTAAAAAATTATGTATACATGTGTTTGTCTGTATGGGGGTCTGTGCAAGTGCCTACAGAAGCTAGAAGAGTGTGTTGGGTTTCCTTGGAGCTAACTGGATGGGGACTATGAATGAAGCATGTCCTCTGCAAGAGAGGGGTGAGCAGCTGTCACCCCTCAGGCCCTCTCCATCACCTCCAGCCTCTCTCCAGCCCCATGTCTCCTGTTTCAGTCTAAGATGCCAGTTACAAGGATGAACTACAGGAAGGACTTTGAAGTGTGTCCTTTATTTTTCTTTTTTTACATTTTTAATTAATTACTTAATTTTAAAATAATTTATTTACTTTACATCCTGATTGTAGCCACCTTCCTCATCTCCTTCAGGTCCCACTCTCCCTCCTTCTTCCCCCAACCTCCTTCTCTACACCATAGAAAGGGGGAGCCCTCCTCCCCTACCTTATGACCCTAGTCTATGAAGTCTCATCAGGACTGCCTGCATCCTCTTCTGTGGTTTGGCAAGGCTGCCCTGCCATGGGGAAGTGATCAAAGAGCGAGCAACAGAGTTCATGTCAGAGACAGTCCCTGCTCCCCTTACTAGAGAGCCCAAACGGAGACTGAGCTGCCATTGGCTACATCTGTGCAGGGGGTCTAGGTCCTCTCCATGAATGATCCTTGGTTGGTGTATCAGTGTCTGAAGGCCCCCCTGGACCCATATTTGTTGGCTTTGTATCAGTGTCTGAAGGCCCCCCTGGACCCATATTTGTTGGCTTTGTATCAGTGTCTGAAGGCCCCCCTGGACCCATATTTGTTGGCTTTGTTGGCCTCCTTGTGGAGTTCCTGTCCCTTTCAGGTCCTTTATACAATGGAATACTACTCAGTTATTAAAAACAAGAAAATCATGAAATTTGCAGGCAAATGGATAGAACTAGAAAAGATCATCTTGAATGAGATAACCCAGAACAGAAAGACATGCATGGTATATACTCATTTATAAGTGGTTATTAGCCTTATAATACAGGATAACCATACTAAAATCCACAGACTAAAGAAGCTAAATAACAGGGAGGCCTAGGGAGGATGCTCAATTCTCATTCAGAAGGGCAAACAGAATAGACACCAGAAGTGGTTGAAGAGAGGGAACAGGATGGGAACCTACCATAAATGTCCTCTGAAAGACCCCACCCAGTAGCGAATTGAAGCAGATGCTGAAACTCAGAGCCAAACTTTGCACAGAGTGCAGGAAGTCTTCTGGAAGTGTTTCTTTTCTAGTGCATACATCTGGGTGACTCTTGCACCTGGTTCTTTACAGAGCCAGGGGTCACTTGAGAATCCTTCCTCACTGACGATGTTGGGAACACAGTATGGACTGACAAAGGTCTACTGAATGAAGGGCAGTTTGCTCACTGAGAATTTTTTTTCTTTTTCATTTTACTTAAGTCAAAGGTAAAGGCATCAATTTCCTGGGACTTTTCTAGGTGGTCAAGGTCAACAGAAGGGAACTAGCACTGAGTGGTACCACATTTCATCATACAAACAAGAGAAGCTTCATGGCTTCTGTTTAGTGAGGAAATGTTTAGGATTCAGGATTACAGCGCTTGATAACAATCCCAGTTCAAGCCTACTTCATTTAAGAACCTGGGCTCTCTGGGGCCTACACTATTGGTCTCACCTCAACCCTTTCCCCCGAGACAGATGGAATGCACATGTTACCTTATTCCTCTGCTCGACCACTCTTCTCTAGTTACCCTAGTTCCTATGGTCAAGCAGACATTAGTTCCAACACATACTCAAAAATATTGGGATTGTATTGTGTGTCACAGGACAGAATGTTATATTGACCAAGTAAGCAGATTACATCGGCAGACAGCAGACTCAGCAATCTTAGCAGTGCAATCTAAAATTGTTATGCACAGTAGTTGCTCTTAATGAAGCCAAATGAGTAAAGTGAATTCCACAAGGATATTTTATTATTAAGCTTCTACCTTCTGTAGAAGCTAATTTATGCATTCTTATCACTTCATTAAATTACTCAACTAACTTCCTACTTAACTACTCCCCTACCTACCTACCCAATTAAAGAGCAGTTGATTATGAGATTAATGTCATTAAGGAAAGCTTATAATTAAGCCTCCTATTATTATTATTGCTGTTGTATGTGTGTTTTATACAGTGTTTTGCCTGCACGCCAGAAGAGGGCACTAGATCTCATTATAGATGGTTGTGAGCCACCATGTGGTTGCTGGGAATTGAACTCAGGACCTTTGGAAGAACAGCCAGTGTTCTTAACCTCTGAACCATCTCTCCAGTAATAATAATTACTATTATTATTAGTAATAATAATAATATTATTACTACTAATATTATTATAATATTTTTCTCACAACTTCTGGTAAGGCAGAAAAGTAATGACAACAGGCACTGTTAGCTAGTTTTCTCAAAGAGTACTACCTGCCTCTCAGAGAGGAAATCTTGAAGTTACCTTGATGATTGTAATGTGATGTCATAAAACATATGCCTGCGAAGTGACTCCAGGATCTGAAGAACACGCAGTTTTACGAAAACATCCAGGATTAAAAAGCACCCCCCTCCTGTCAAAGGCTTTCACTTTTATAGGTGACGTTCATCTATTCCATGAGAGCTCACAGACAGCAGGTTGGGCTGGGACTGCTTAGCCAGTCCAGTCCATCCCAGGCCTTTTGTCCTTCTGCGCCTTTTTGGAGCTCACATGGAGGTCATAGAGTAACCTTGTGGTTCTCTCTGTCCACCTTTATGTGAGTTCCAGGGATCAAGGTCAGGTCACTAGGCTTGCATGGCACTCTCTGAGCCGTGTCACTGCTCATTAAATTTAACCTGCATAGTTATAATTTACAATTTGGCTATGCTGGCAGTCTTGATTCTTCCAGTCCTGGGGAGCATAGGAATGCCTGTCAGAAACAACCACTGAAACCCTGAGAAGGCATAACAGTAACTATGAAGGATGGAGACACAAAGAAACAAAGCTAAATGTTGATATTTTGTAAACCAACACAGTATAGGAATATCTCCATCAGGAATATCTGAAGCCCTTAGGCAGTTATATTTAGGGGGATTTTGTTATGAAAGTTTTGGTATTTAATAAAATTTTATTTGTTAAAATGGGTGATGGAGAAACACTGTTCACTAGGTTTTTAAAAGTAACTTATTTTTGTGTGTATTGGTGTTTTTGCCTGCATGTATGTCGCTGTGAAGGTTTCTTGGAGTTACAGACAGTTGTGGGCTGCTATGTGGGTGACAGAAATTAAACCTGGGTCCTCTGGAAGGGCAGTCAGTGCTCCTAACCACTGAGCCATCTCTTCAGCCCGTTCACCAGATTTTTAAAGTTACCAATTTAAGAGCTCATGCAATATTAAGGATTGCGAGTTTCCATCACCCACAACTGCTTGTGTACCGAAGTTTCTTGGCAAATATCTCCTTAGTTCCAGCCATTTGATGAGACTGTCTGAACTTACATGGGGCCCTGGTGGGTGGTGAAATGGCACTAACCCTGCTGTTCATCTTTCCCAAGGACACGGTCACCCACTACTCGGAGCTTTACCACGACTTCACCATTACTCAAGTGGGAATGCATGACATTGTTCGGGACTTCCGGCAGACCATGAACCAGTACAGCAGAGAGCCTGGCAGATACCGGTAACCACAGGCCCAAGTCAGATTCTCAAAAAACTGGCATAACCATAATTGTGTTTTATTATTATTGGTGTTGGCATTGGTGGTGTTGGTGGTGGTGGTGATAGGGTGTGTGTGTGTCCATGATATGTGTGTAAGGGCATGCATGATTTGGAGCTCACACGGAGGTCATAGAGTGAGTAACCTTGTGGCTCTCTCTCTCCACCTTTATGTGAGTTCCAGGGATCAAATTCAGGTCACCAGGCTTGCTTGGCACTCCCTGAGCTATGTCACCACCTGCCCCTACAGTTTAAAAAAAAAAAAAATTTTAACCTACGTGATTATAATTTACAATCTGGCTATGTCTGGTTGTGAAAGTCTCTCATGTTGCTTCTTTGCTGATTTTCAGTTTGCTCTTTTTTAGAATGTTAAAGATGAAATTAATTTGAAAGAACATACTGGTTAAATGTTAGACGCAAGCTTTAAAATATTTCTACTAATCCTTTGGGAATTTCATACACTGTATGTTGCTTTTGTGTGTGTGTGTGTGTGTGTGTGTTTTGTACATGTGAGTGCAGGTGTCTTCATAGGCCAGAAGAAGGTGCTGATTCCCTGGAGGACGAGTTACTGTAGCTCTGTCACCTGGCATAGGTGTGGGGACCTGAGCTCGGATTCGGTTAAGAGTGGCACAGAGCCGTGACTGCAGAGCCGATTCCCTGGCCTGATGAACTGTTATGTTATCATTATTGCTGGGGCTGTGTTTCTTGAGTAGTGGACCCAAATGTTCAGCTGGCTTGTCCACAGCTCCCGGGGGTTAACACAGCTGTGAGATCTATCTGGTCTTAAAAATCTTGGATAAAGGATACTTACCTTGTGTTACTGAAATAGTTCAGCCAACAGAATCAGCAAGACAGCTAAAGACACTCGGCTTGGGGAAGGCAATGGACACACAGGGATTAACAGCAGAGGTAGGGGCTGAATTGACATGTTACGACACACCTTTAATCCCAGCATTCGGGAAGCAGAGGCAGGTGGAGTTCTGTGAGTTTGAGGCTAGCCTGGTCTACAAAGCAAGTTCCAGGACAGCCAGGGCTACACAGAGAAACCCTGTTTCAGAAACAAAACCAAAAACCCAAACCAAAACTATTGACTGTATTCTTCCATTAATGTGCCAGCTCAACCAGCAAAGGGCAGCACTGACGGGGCCTTTTCAGGTGATGTTATCGTCCTAAGTGTTCAGGGCGCACATCAATGGCAAGGGGAGGCCCTTACTTTATAAGAGCTATAGAGTGGAAATTCTAAGTGGGCTGATGGAACTCTAAAGAAGGTCTTCAAGACGCTAGAGCTTTAGTCAGGTGTTGAAGGTAGAGAGCAGCATCGATAGAGAAGCTAATTCTGCATTTGTGTGCTGCTTTCCCCTATCTAATGATGCATGTTGGCTCCCATACTGAACATGTTTTTATTAATTCTTTGAGAATTTTATACATGCATACAATGCTGTAATATATATGCACATACATAATTTTTATTATATTCACCTGCTTTCTTCCTCTTAACATCCTCCAGAGCTACTCTCCGTACCCCACCCCTCCCAACTTTATATCCTCTTTAAAAAAATAACCACTAAGTCCAACCCTAATAGGGTGCTCAGGCATGTGGGACCGGACCGTCCACTGCAGTGTGGTCAACCTACTAGGGACCACACCCTTAGAGAAAAGAAACTCTCCCCCTACCAGCCCATCAACTGTCCGTGGCCCTGCAGCGAGGGGTAGGAGGGCTCGTGATAATGAACCAGTCCTTTCCCCTCCGTGCCGGAACGCTGGCGGGCTTGATCCTGTGCAGGTGAGCACAGCTGCCGGGCGTCTGTCAGTGCAGCCGTCACATCCAGATGGTGCTGTTTCACCTCAGTCCTCTGCGACTTCTGGCCTTTCCAGTCTCTCCATCCGCTCTTCCGTGATGCTCCCTGAGCCTTGCAGAGAGGGGTGATACAGATGTCCCTGTGTGGCTGGACCTCCACGGACACCAATTCTCTGTACTTTGACCTGTTTGTGTGTTCACTGCCCCTGTGCAAAGGAGCTAAGCTCTGCTGAGGTCTGAGGCTGCGCTGGTCTGTGAGCGGCCCCACATGTTATTCAGGCCATGCTCTGGAGTCAGCAAAGTTTGCCACCTTTTCCAGGTTCATGGGGACGGAAGCCTCAGCCGAGAGCATCGAGAGAACCATGATGTACTACGGCTTGCCATTCGTCCAGGAAGCGGATTTTCCTTTCAACAGTTACTTCACCACACTAAACACCCTCTCTGGGCACACTGTATATGAAGGTATCGCATCCTGGATGAAAAACATGCCAGAAGGAAAATGGCCCAATTGGATGGTAAGCCCTCATGCAAGGCACACAGCTGTACTTCTAGACAGTCACCTCTAAAATGATGGCCACCTTGTCCCTCAGTGACCTTACTCAGTGTTACATCTGCCCTAGCTTCTGACCAGGCTTGTCTTAGCCCAGATTTATTGCTGTGACAAAACACCATCATAGGCATACTTAAAAATCTTATATTTACCCTTATCATTTTCTCCCTACTCTACTTCACTCCAACTTCTTATCTCACAACAGCAACCAGGAGCAGCAAGGGGGAAGCAGGAGCAGCCTTGTTCTTTCTCAGAGCTTCCCAACACTCTCTGGGCTCTGGCATTTATTCTTTCTCCAGAGTCCCAGATTTAAACTCTGCAGCTGGCAAAGAGCTCCTCTCAGAGCCCGCACAAAGCAAATAGTCTGCTGCTGTGGACCATCTGAATCAGTCCCACATCCCACACCTGGGACCAAAACAAAAACATGTTTATATCCACAACACACCATGACCAAAAAGCAAGTTGGAGAGGAAAGTGTTTATTTGGTTACAATTCCAAATTGCTGTTCATTATTGAAGGAAGTCAGGACAGGAATTCACCTGGAGGCAGGAGCTGACGCAGAGGCTGTGGAGGGGAGTGCTTACTGGCTTGTCTATCATGGCTTGCTCAGCCTGCTTTCTTATAGAACCCAGGACCACGTGCCCAGGGATGGCTCCACCCACAATGGGCTGGGCCCTCCCCATCAATCACTAAGTAAGAAAATATCCTATAGGCTTGCCTGATCTTAGGGAGACATTTTCTCATTTGACTTTAGCTTGTGTCAGGTTGACAGGAAACTAGGCAGCACAGGGTTCTTATTATGGAGGGAGGACATTATCCACTCAACTAAATCAATACTTAATGAGTATTTATCTATGCTTAGAATTTCACTAAGTTTGGTTAGGGCTGGCTATCAAACCATAATTCCAACCCACTTTCCACAGTTTATGATCCCAGTACAAATAGGTTTCCAGTGTGAAGGCTACAAGCCAGGGTGATGTTTGTTGCATAGAGTATCATGGAAGCGGCATTTAAAGCCCGGAGAATCCGGAAGGCTCTCCCCCATCTACACATGGCCTGCCGCTGCTAGGCTGTGGAACAGTGGAGGGTTTCTCTGTACTGAGACTAGTGAGTTAGTGTGTCTAAACACAGGAGGGGCACATTACAGAGGTGACACAGAAGATAAACCTCGGTGCAGAGCTCTTCAGCGAGCGGAGCCTGCAGATGTGGAAGTTGCCCCCGAGGTCAGTGAGCGGGGGCTGAGTTTGAAGGAATGGGGCGGGACTGCCTACTGTAGCAGTTTACTGAGCTTTACTACCACTGCCTTAGAGACATGCCCTTCCACTCGCTCCATCTACATTCCCTCTTCACTACGAAGTTCATCTTCTTCGTTTCTTGGGGTTCTTTGTTTGTTTGTTTGGTTTTTGTCAGGGTTTCTCTGTATAGTCCTGGTTGCCCTGGAACTTGCACTGTAGACCAGGCTGACTTTGAACTCGGAAATCTGCCTGCCTCTGCCTCCCTAGTGCAGGGATTAAGCGTGTGTGCCGACACCACCACCTGGCTAGAAATTAACCTTATCTTTGTATTATACACTCAAGTATTTTAAAACGTTTTGACATTTGTAATAACACAGTAGAAACACAAACATTGCTTGGGTCTATAGTTTTTTTCTGTATGTCATTATTCTGTAGCCTATTCTTTTTTTGTTTTAAAAATTGTCATACATTTTCATCTTAAAAGTGAAGACCCAGCTAGCCATGGTGCACACGCCTGTGATCCCAGCACTCTGGGGCCAGAAGCAGGTAGAGCTCTGTGAATTCAAGGCTAGCCTGGTCTGCATAGAGACTTCAGGCCAGCCAAGGTTGCATAGTGAGACTCTCTCACAAAATAAAATAAAGAAGATCCACAATATCCTGGACTGTCTAGTGTCATCATCTTCCACTGTTCATGTTCTGCCAGTAGAAGGGTCTTTGGTACAGAATTGTTCCCTCTTGGAAGGGCGTCTTCTGAGGGACCTGCCTGAACTCTCAGCTCCCCGCCCCCCACTTCCTGTCGGGTCACCCCTGCAGGCCCCTAAACTTCCTCTATTGCTGAAATGACCTTGGGTTTGAGTCTTCTTCCACTTCCCGAGAACAAGAGCTGTAGGAGTGCAGCGTCATGCCTTCTTTTCCGCGGTGCCCTGATGGAATGCAGAGCTCCTGCGCTTGCCGCCGCTGCTCTGGCTCCGATTTTCAAGCACCCTCGCTGTGCTTTCATCCTGTTGAGATTTCTTTCATGCACATGGGGTGCATGACATGTCTCACAGGTCTCAGAGCCGTCACTCGTTTTCTTCATTTTTCTCTTTCCTATTCTCAGTTCAGACAAACTCAGCCGACCTGATTTCAAGCCTTCTTTTGCTTCCTCTTGCAGTTCAAACCTGTCAAGCTCTCTTAAGGAAACTTCAACTTCCATGATTGTACTTTTCAACTCCAAGATTCTTACTTGGTTCTTTTCATTATTATCCATATTTTGATGTGTGAGGCATGATTCTTTTTGTTTGTTTTATTTTGTTTTTCGAGTTAGGGTTTCTTTGTGTAGCCTGGGCTGTTCTGGACTTGCTTTGCAGACCAGGCTGGTCTCAAACTCACAGAAATCCACCTGCCTCTGCCTCCCTGAATGCTAGGATTACAGGTGTGTGCCACTGTACCCAGCTGAGGCATGATTCTTATGCTTGCAATTCTTCAGATAGAGCTTAAGTTCTCTGAACAGATATACAACTGCTTTAGAGACCTTGTCTAGTAAGCCTAAATGTTTTTATATCATTTATAAATTTTACATATAAAACTAATCATAACACTCTATATATTACAAGACAGGGTTTCTCTGTGTATCCCTGGCTGTCCTGGAACTCACTCTGTAGGCCATGCTGACCTCTAACTAACAGAGATCCACCTTCCTCTGTGATTAAAGGCACAGACCACTATGGCCAGCTTAGTTTAGTTTCTCTTAATCTCAGCGACATTTTCCATCACCTTTCCCATATTTACATTATGGCTATATTTTTGTTACTTTGCATGTCTTTTACTTTTTTTTTTTTGTGGCAACTTGGGTGTTGTAGGTAGTACAATGGGGTAATTCTAAAAATCATAGTTTTCTTTCACAGTGTTTGTTGTCTTGTTCTTTAGTCACTTTCTTAGATGAGTTCCAAAAAGTCTATGTTCTTGGTTTGGTGTGGCCAAGGAGATATCTGGAGGTTCTTTTTAAAAAAAGATTTTATTTTCTTCCTCCTTTTGAATTTTGTGTACGTATGTGGTCTGTTGTGGCTGTGAGCGTGGTGCCTGAGGAGGCCGGCAGAAGGTGTTTGATCCCATGGAGTTGAACTGACAGGTACACGTGAGTGGCCTGATGTGGGCCCTGGGAACCACATTCTGGTATTTGCTTTTAGCTGCAGATCTCCAGGCTTGGGGAGATCCCTCAGATGCCTTGAACTGGTGAGGGTCCCTGACATTGCTGAGGGGCTCTTTGTGTGTGGGCAAGCTCCCAGCAGCTGGCAGCCACCTTACAGCCCACCTTAGCCAGTCTTAAATCAGCTGGGATGAAAGCTAGAACCTTGTCACACACAGGAATGTTGGCAGGCCTCTCGTGGGTGTCTCGTTCCCCAGTTGTTTCCTTTGGTTCTTCTTCCGGGCCTTAGTTTAGCGTAAGTTGGTATAATGTCCAGGCCACGTGAAGGCAAAGTATTGTCACAAATGTTATGAGGAGTAGAGTTCTTGTTGTTTGCATAGTTAATCCTTAGTCAGATTAGATAAACACCCTAGTGAAATGAGCTTCAGTGGAGTTTACACAACAGCAGGTCCCGGATACTGCAGCATCCAGTGAACTTTAAATCCATCCATCGCTGCCCCTGGCTGTTAGGCTCTTGTTTAGTTGCTGTTTGTGGGGTTGTTGAGCATATCATGGCCTTGAAGAGAGGGTAATTAGGGAAAGTTAAATGCTCGAGCTATGAAGCTCACTGTTTTTGCTGAATAAGTTAATCAGTAGATTTGCCACTGCCTAGTTAATTTTACATGTTCTGAAAAATACAGAGTTTTAGTTTTTGCAAACATTTTCCTTGTTTGGGAGTTTTGTTTTTTGTTTTTAAACATTGATTTATTTTGTCTGTAGAGCTGGAATTGGAACCCAGGGCCTCATGGATGCTGGGCATATTGTTCTGAACCGAATCCCCAGCCTTTAGGAGATGTTTTGAGATCTTTACTATGTCAGTTGGTTGTGCCTAAGATGTCACAGCTTTGACGACATTGTTTTAGCAGGCACAGAAAGCATTTTGACAGTTTCTAGTGTTGTAGGTTGCTGGCATTGTTCTTGGTCTGTGAGATCAAGGTGATCCGTGTCCACTGCTTTGAACTACTCAGGGAAAGATTTTCTGCTTTGAACTCTGAAAAGGAAGAATTTACTCTGTGACCAGATGACTTGAGAAATCAGTCTGCAGAATTGCTAATGGCACTGAAAAGAAGTCAACAGATGACTGAATGTTCTGGCCATAAAACTAGAAAACTGATTATAGTGATCCACAAAGATACAATTATGGGGGTTACCTTAGCACAGCTAATGGAAGAGAAAGAGGAAGTCCAAAGCCAAAGGCTGCTTGTCCATCACAGTGTAAATCAAATACTGCCCTTTCTCAAAGCCTCCACTTCTCATCTGTGAAATAGACACAGTCCTTGGCACAGGGCTGTGAGGGTAAGTTACAACACAGGTGTGAAAGTATTTAAGCAGCAAAGTGCTACGCTCAGTGTCTGTCCACTGGATCCGGCTGAGGTGCTGTGGGAAGAAGAGTTGCTGCAAATATTCTAATCTGTAACTGGAACACTTACCATATGGAAATCATGTACAATTAGAGAATGTGTCAGGAGACTTCTTACACTGTGCCCTTTCTTTTATTTATTTATTTGGAGACAGAATCTCGTTATGTAGCCAACAACGATCCCAAATTCATGACCTCTCCACCTAAGCTACCTCCTAAGCACAAGTATGCACCTATGAGCACAAGTAACCGTGCCCAGTTATGTAAATTTCTTTGTAAGAACTAACTTGCCTTTTGTCTGTGTGTGTGTGCATGCACGTGCTATCTCACAGCATATGCACAAACAGACCTTGAGTAACCTTGGGTGTTGCTCCTTAGGATGTGCCCATCTTGGTTTTGGAGGAGGTCTCTCTCTGGGATATGGACTCCCCAGTTAGGCTGGGTTGTCTGGCCAGTGCCCCAGGGATCTGCCTGCCTCCTCCATATCGCCAGTGATGGCATTACTAGGGTGTAATGCCATCTTTCTTTTTACATGGGTGCTGGGGATCAAATTCAGGTTTTTACATGTCTGCAGCACACAGTTTACTACCCCAGCTTTCTCCCCAAGCTCCCAATATCTTGCTAGAGATTGGTTTTGGATAGTTTGAATGTCAAAAAAAGAAAGACACATTAGAGGTGTCCATCTGCTTTTCTACCTTGTTCTCATTTTATGTATTGGAATTTTCAAGACAAGGTTTCTCAGTGTAGCCTTGGCTGTCCTGGACTCACTGTGTAGACTAGGCTGGCCTCGAACTCACAGATATCAGCCTCTGCTCCCAAGTGCTGGGATGACAGGCGTGCACTGCCACCACCACATCAACTTTGTTCTCTTACCTTTTCGTTTTGTTTTTCAAGACAAGGTTTCTCAAGCATGTGCCTTGGTGCACACAGGAAAACTTTGTGGAGTCAGTTTTCTCCTTCTACTTTTAAATGGGATCCAGAGAGTGAAGTCAGGTCACTAGGCTTGCTAGGCAAGCCCTTCTACCCACTGAGCCATCTCAAGGCCCTTGCCTTAGTATTATGGAAAAAACCAAACAAACTTGTTTCCTTTGCTGTTGGTATTTATTATTCTTGTGTGGGAAACATGAATATGGATCCTTTAAACTTCCTCTGAATTGCAGTACCATTTGCAAGGAGCACGCTGAGAACTCACCACTGCTTTGTGGTCTTTCTTTGGGTTACTGCTGTGATGAAACTACACTGTGAACACCATTCCCAAAGCAATTTGGGGAGTGATCATCAAGGGGAGTCAGGGCAGGAACTCAAGCATGGTAACTCTCTCACAAGATTTTGTGTAGAGGTGTGCTCATAAAATTATCTGCCTTTCAGACTGGCGGGCCAGAGAGTCCCCGGCTGACTTCTCGCCTGGGGAACCGGTATGCCAACACCATGAACATGCTTCTGTTCACGCTCCCGGGAACACCCATAACTTACTATGGAGAAGAAATAGGGATGGGAGATATTTTCATCACGAATTTCAATGAAAGCTATGATATTGTAAGTACGATACAGTTTTTAGCTGTGGGCCATGACTACACTGCCAGACAATTTATTACTGCTATTCAATGAGTACTGAACAGTCATGGTCACTTTTTTTTCCCACTGTTGCCAGTGAGGGTTTATCAGCTTTCTTGGTGGTTGAGCTCATTAAAATGCCACCTGCTAAGGCACACAAGTGAGTTCTTAGACAGATCCAAGGAGCCTGCAGATTCTGAGGCACACTGAAATTTGAAGACCAGTGGCTTACTTTGGATATTATTGACTGCCCTCTTCCTTAAATAGTTAGGGACTTACTTACCTCTGGTTTTAACCGCTAGTTATGTGAGCACAGCACTGCCTTGTCCTGTACCCCTGTGTGGCTTTGCTTTGTTCTTGTTTGAGGTTATGGTTCCACGGTTGAGTTGCTGGGTAGACAACATCCTGACCTTTTAAAAGTGCAGTTCACTTTCCCTTGTGTGACAGACAGTTTCCTTAACATTTTGTTAATTTAAACTTTCTACCAGCGGCTCACCGTGTGTGGGTATTCACACTCAGTGAAGGATCAGGGTGGATACGGAAGTAGGCACAAGTCAGGTGAGCAGAGTCTGGCAGGGTTCCTGACTCTGCTATCAGTTTATCAGAGCAGGATGAGGTGACAGGATTTGCTAGTGATCAGGGTGGATACAGAAGTAGGCACAAGTCAGGTGAGCAGAGTCTGGCAGGGTTCCTGACTCTGCTATCAGTTTATCAGAGCAGGATGAGGTGACAGGATTTGCTAGTGAAAATCTCTTTTTTATTTTCTGAAAAAAACAGCAGATTCTAAGCACATGAAAGTTCAGTTTGTAAGTGTATTCCTATCTGAAATGATTATTCGCTATTTTCAAACTGAAAGCATGAAGCTGAGTTATCTGTGTACATTAAGGCTTTTTCATCACAAAGTCCACGGTATGCTTACATCAGTTCAGAACTGAAGGGGCAGTTGGGAAGTGGCCAGGAAGGGCCCAGATGGTTTTCTTGTATGACTTGATATAACCTGATCACTTTGTTTTTGGTTTTTCAACATAGAATACTCTTCTCTCAAAGTCACCAATGCAATGGGACAATAGTTCAAATGCTGGGTTTACTGAAGGCAACTATACCTGGCTACCCACAAATTCTGATTACCATACTGTGAATGTGGATGTAAGTATTGATGAGAATGTTTCACTGACTCTAGAATAAGGAATGAGTGTCTACCTGAATTACTAACATCCTGAGCATGTGGGAAACCTTAACTAAGACATTAAAATCCATCACACACTAGTCTTGTAATTTTCCATTTGTAAGGAGTTTGGAAACCATGTTTTTGGTGAAATATGACTTGTTACACTAGTGCCCCAAAAGAAAATCATTCACAGCATTTAGTTCTTCACTGAAATGTCTTGCCTGTGAGCACTCCATTATGATGGTAATTCTACAGATGTCTTTCTAGCAAGCCTACCTTCCCTTTCTCTGTAATTTATTTTACAGTCGTCACTAAGTTTTAAGGGATTAGAAGGTCCCTTTCAAAATGCCAGGGGTGGCAACTTCAGATCAATTGGTCTAACAGAAGTCTCTTTAAAAAAAAAAAAAAAAGGAGATATCTGGGCTCAAGAGATGTCTCAGTGGTTAAAAGCACTGTCTATTCTTCCAGAGGTCCTGAGTTCAATTCCCAGTAACCACATGGTGGCTCACAACCATTTATACTGGGGTCTGATACCCTCTTCTGGCATGCAGGTGTACATGCAGATAAAGCACTCATATATACACACATCTATAAATCTTTTAAAAAAGACCCCCCAACCCAAAAAGAAAAAAGAATCACTAAACAAAAGAATAAGATGATTATAAATAAAAGATAAAATGAGGTTTCAGTAGGATGTTGAAACAAGGTAGTCACATATACGAATGGGTGAATTCATATTTAAAGATACAAATATTCAGATTAGATAAGACAAAATCCAGATATGAGAGACAGCTAAAAGAAACTATCATAGGCAACTGTAATGGAAAGAAAGCTTTCAATTTAGAGATCAAAAGAATGTTTATACTTTTTGATCAGTAGTTTTACTCTTAGATATTTATATCTATGAATATCCATGTATGTGAATACAATAAATATGCAAAGCCTTTTCTATGGCACTGTTTGCAAGAACAGAAGTGCTAGAAATGACTTCTGTGTCTATCCAACAGAAAGCCAATTCAGTAGACATAGGACTAAGGATGTAGCTCCGAAGACAAAGAATGGCTGCACCAGTGAGAGAGCATTTTGTTTATTTGTTTGACAGGGTTAAGACAGGGTTTCTCTATGTAACAGCCCCGGTTGTCCTGCTCTCTCTGTAGATCAGGCTGGCCCTGAACTCACAGAGTTCCACTTGTTTCTGCTTTCCAAGTGCTGGAATAAAGGCATATGCCACTATCGAGAACAATTTTAAGATGGCACCACCTGTGTAAGCACGCCTACATATATGCTTGCAGCGGCACAGGGTACCATTTCATGATACCTAAAAAAGGAAGGAATGCAACCAGCCATCGTGTCCTGCCCATCTCCAGAAGTGAACAGGCGGTGCTTGAAGAAATCTTTGCCTGGTATATGTTCTTCTTGCGACTGAAGTTTATTATACCACGTATATGCATTTCCTAGACAAACAATGACTTACAAAAGTGGGTTTGGAAATATTTAATAGCAGACAAAATAGAATTTAATATGAAAAGCATTATATGAGAGAAATGCAATTTTCAGACAGTGAAAAGAATTGAATAGTCCACTAAAACCCACAAATCTTTATGCATGTTAACAAAAGGTCCAAAATACATCAAACAAGTACTTTGAGAAGTGCAAAGAGACAAGTCCACAGTTACAGAGAAAGAGTTCAAGTGAAAGTAGATGGAAAGAGCAGCTCCCTGGGCCTCTCGTATGAGCGGCAGTAAACCCTGCCCTCATGCATTCATCAACTAGAGCTATTGAGAATGAGCAAGAACACCGACGCGTCACACACACACCAGGATTGCTCTGTACCTGATAAACAGAATGGACATCTTCAAATACCCATGAAATAGTCATTAAATACATTTATTAAGCATCTACCCAACAACAACAACAACAACCATGACAACAACAACCCCTGCCCCAGGAAACATGGCTGATGAGAGTGTAATGAATGAATATTACTGTTGATTTGGCAACAGCTACAACTAATTTGGCATTATGTATTGAATGCCCATACTCTTTGACACAGGAATTATCTGTCTGATAATCTATGTTAAATAAATAATATTAAACATGGGAGGAGGTGAATGAAAATGCAAGAAAACACCAGAAGTGCAAATGCTGAAAAGGAAAGGGAAGGGTAGTATGGTAAAACTATTTAACAGAATATTATTTGTCATTTCAATGACATCTATGGGGACAATGTAACAGAAAAGTGCTTATGAGAAAAAAGAAAAAGGAAAGAACAGCACTAAATTAGATATGCTTGTGTAGCTGTAAAATCAACCCAAATCTTTAATAGACAAAAACTAGCTTTTATGGCCTAGAAAAAAAGTCATAAAGAGAGCAAATGTGGCCTTCCTAACTTGCATCTTAGGCTCTGCAGTTTGCAGTGCTCTTTCCATCACTGGTGATCTGAAAATCAATGTCTGCTGGACCCATGATCTCTGCACAGCAGTGCCCCTTCTCATCATCCTACAGATGAGAGCAGCCAAGCCCAAATGCACACTCTCCGAGTTCCTGTGACAGTGGCTTTTTGCATCTGGCAGTCACAACACGGCACAGTGACTTCATTCCAGCAAGCTAAATGATATAAAGTGGAGTCAAATTTGCTTCTGCAGCAACTCTAAGATGTGGGAGCACTGCGTATACTGAAATGGCTCCCCAACAAGCAGAAAATCTGATTTGTAATTCCTCTGACTTTAGGAAAAACTATTTATAAATTTGGTAGTTACTTTAAAGGGCAAATGGAAGCAATTGTTTTGAGAGGGGGATAATTATTAAATATTGTGAATATTTACGTGAATATTGTTTTTAAAAACAGGTCCAAAAGACCCAGCCAGGCTCAGTGCTGAAGCTGTATCAGGATTTGAGTCAACTCCACGCCAAAGAGCTTCTTCTCAGCAGGGGCTGGTTTTGCCTTTTGAGGGATCACAGTCACTCTGTCGTATACACAAGAGAACTGGACGGCATAGATAAAGTCTTCATTGTGGTTCTGAATTTTGGAGAATCATCAACTGTGCTAAATCTACAGGAAATCATTTCAGAGCTCCCTACAAAACTGAGAATAAGATTAAGTACCAGTGGAGCCTCCAGAGGCAGTGATGTTGATACCCGTGCCATTTCTCTGGAGAAGGGAGAGGGGCTCATCTTGGAACACAGCATGCAGACTCTCTTCCATCGTCAAGAAGCTTTTAGAGACAAATGCTTTGTGTCCAGCCACGCATGCTACTCCAGCGTGCTGGGCATTCTGTATAGTCTGTGCTAGGAAGCTGCAGGAAGAGATGGCCACCCTGTATCCAGCATGTTTTGACACACAGTACGCTTCTGAGTAAGCCTCGTGGATGGCGTCAATTTGTAGATATTTCCACAGCACTGTTGCACTAATGCAACTGTTCTGGGGGGAGTTTCTCAAATTTTCAAAGAACAATAAAGTATTTAAAAGATTATTCCAGAATGCTAAAGCATTTAAATATGAAAAATGCTCTTCTTTTCTTTAAAGTAGAGTTGTGGAAATTGCAAGATGACTCATAGCCACAGTGCTTAAAAGTAGTTATTAGCAAAGAGGAAGGACACTGAATTGTAAACTGGTCAAAGAAAATTCTATTAAAAGACATTAAGTTGCTCTGATTGGAAGGGAGGCCTGGTGTTCTCCTGCTCCCAGACCTTCTGGCCTCCTTCTCTACTACCAATGTAGTACGAGCATGACCGAAATGCTAAGAGGTTTGTGCTGGTGGGAACAGTACAAGTGACACATATGTTAAGCAAAATTACACAAAGAAACAACTTAAAAAAAAAATCTCACTTTTGCTAAACCAACTGGAAATGAGACTAGTTATTATTTCCACGTGTGTCTAGTCCAGCTAAATGCAGCAGTTCAGAATTTTAGGTATTTCTTAAGATTCTCGAAAGCATTGGTGCTGTCAAGTCCAAGTTCCTCATACAGGAATTTCATCTGGGCTGTAATCTAAAAGAACCACACTTGAGGATTAGACAGAAGAATTAGAATCCCAGTGTTCCTTAGTCTGTCTTTATCCAAGCTAACCTGACTTGAGTCTTTAACCCATTTCTCCTTAGCAGAGCCCCCTCATGGGGACAAGGGCAGCCCTTGAGCACAGTGGCCCTCCCCCACCTCATGGCCTGACACTGAGAAGCAGCCCTGCCATTACCACTGAAAGCCTTCAACACAACACATCTAAAATCAAGGACCCTGTCAGCGCAAAGGGGATGGAGAACATACCTTTTTGTGAGAATCCTCAATCACATGATTCCCTCCAGGCTGAATATCTAAAATGATGTTGGGGGGCTGATAGCCTGAAAGAGTTAACACAAAAGCAATCAGACCTTCATAAAACTGAGACCCATCTCTCCCTCCTTCTAAGCACTTAACTCAAACAGCAAAGGAACAAAACAAAGTCACCATAACTACCACCAAGGAGATGGGAGGGCAACGGGCAGGAGGCCAGTTTCTGAGCCAGGGGAGCAGGACACTAATGGCTGAGGAGCCTGGGTGCCAGAACTGGCACAATGAGAGAAGACTGTGACCTGTGAACCAGGAGGGGGTCAGAGGTTGTGATTTAGGAGGGTGTCAACAGTCTGTGGGACCTGAGAGTTTGGGACCCTGGAAATACCAGCTGTAGCAGTGGAGAGGGAGAGCTGGAGCTGCATCCAAAGACTGATTTGGAGGGTGGCCCTCCTAATTCCAAACCCAGAGTGTGTTAGTAGGCAGTTTTAAGGAAAAAGGAAGAATTTTTAAAAATGACTTTTCTACACCTGGCTGAAAATGAGTAATCTTAGAGCAGCAACAGGATGTCTCATGACTGTTACATGACTGAATCTATGTGTGCGGTCTCCAAGTTACAGTTACTTTTACTTTTATAGTTGGATTTCCTCTCTGCTTTGAGTCCTGCCTGCTTTGCTTTAACATTACTCCAAAGGGGGCGGTTGCAGCTATGGACTGTAACCGAGGAGCCAGCACGGTAGCTGTATGTGGAGTGTGCTGTTGCTGAGGGCAGTCCCGATACCCAGTGCCCGGGTCAGGCTGAGGGCAGCCCCGATACCAGGAGCCCGGTCAGGCAGCCTCCCACCTTCACCAGCTTCCTTAGTGTGCTCTGCAACGGCTTCCTGGAGTTTCTCAGTGTAGCTTACAATTCCTTTCAGAGGTACTCGCTCATCATTTTCATAGGCTGTGATATGGATTGAAGGGTAATGCTGAAAGAGAACAGATGCACAGAGTTATGTTACTCCATGATTCCTTCTACCCTGTAGATCGTTTGTTCCCCTGAGGGCTGGAAGTGTTTGCTTATTGGGAGCTCTTGAGCAGGCCTCAGGAGGATGGCGCCAGGCTACCTGTTACCTGTTGTGTGATTAGCATTACTATTTTTTTAAAGAGTTATTTATTATGTATACACTGTTCTGCCTGCATGCCAGAAGGGGGCACCAAATCTCATTATAGATGCTTATGAGCTACCATGTAGTTGCCAGGAATTGAACTCAGGACCTCTGGAAGAGCAGCCAGTGCTCTTAACCTCTGAGCCATCTCTCCAGCCTGATTATCTTTTTTTTTAAGAGCAAATCATAATCATCAAAAGTCAACAGGATTATGTTATATTTATGTAGCATTTTAACATTTCAGAAAATGCCCTGAAATACATTTGCCTATCTCAAAAACATTATAATTGGTTTTTTTTAAGAAGGTTTGAACTTTCCAGGTTCTCTGATATTTGAATTGTTCTTATAATTTGAGTATTTAAATTTTTGCTGTTTGCCTTGTACGAGTTATATTGGTAAGTAACCAGTATCCATTCTTTGAATAGAATGGATGAATGCTGGTTACTTGGTTACTTATCAATATAACTGGTACAAGGGACAGCCTTTTCCTCTCCAGAGAGACCATGATGTCATTTAATCTCTACTGGATCAGGGGATGAGAATGAATGCTTGTCTCTGAGCTGTTAAACTGAGGCAAATGTGGAGTACGAGTGGACATAACACCAAAGAATGATTAGGTATCCTAAGCAGAAACAGACTCTTAGAGCCCTCTGACTCTCGTCCCACCTCAGCGTGTGCCCTTTCAGTTGTCCTCTCTATTGCTTCAGGGCAGTGACTGCAACTGCATCTCCCTACCTGAGGTTTAATGTTTTGACAGGGACAGTAGCGTTTTATGTAGTTCTTGTGCTTCTCCTCAGATGAAGGGTTCCCCCATTCTTCTAACTCTTCCAGTGTCAGAGGAAGTGTGGTGTCCATCATGGTGTTGAGGACATCCAAGAAGGGTGCCTAGTCAAAGAAAGAGAAAGCCAAACAGAAATATATATATTTATGTGTGTATGTGTATATATGTGTGTGTGTGTGTGTGTGTGTGTGTGTGTGTGTATATATATATATATATATATATATATATATATATATATATATATGTGATCAAAGGTGAAATGAGCTTCACAATAGTCTCCTGCATAAAGACATACCCAGGTATGAGAGGGCACAGCTCAGGCTTAAGTACAGCTGGTAATTCACAGGTGGAGAAAGAGCATTCAAACTCCTTAAAAGATATTTTTATAACAAGAAAGAATTTACTTTATAATTTCACAAATTTTGTTTTTAGTTTGGTGCCTTTTCTCCTATTTTTACTTATATAAAAGTAACAAATATAGCTCTGTATTTCATTAGGACGGCTATTATATCCATCTGTCTGTCTGTCTATCTATCTTATACTATTAAAAAGAATCTCACAATAATCAGAATATTTCAAGTTGGTGAGGAAACAGAGAAACTGCATCATTTTTGCCTATTGGCTAGACTATAAATGGTTGTCACTGTGGCAAAAAGCATGGTAGTTCCTCAAAAAAAAAAAAAAAAAAAAGGTGACATTTACCTTTTGATCTAGCACCTCCTTCCTAGAGATATAACCAAAAGAGCTAGAGACAGGGTCTTCCCCACCAACCCCAGGCAGGGTTTCTCTGTGTAGCCCTGGCTGTCCTGGACTCACTCTGTAGACCAGGCTGACCTCGAACTCACAGAGATCTGCCAGCCTCTGCCTTCCTGAGTGATGGGATTACAGGCGTGTGCCTCTGCTCTGGGTTGAGGCAGGGTCCTAAAGGGACACGAGGACAGTGAATACACCAACTGTGCTGCAAGCATGCAAGCTGGAGCCCCCTGCATGCGGTGACGTCAGGGCCAGCTAGGCAGGACCAGCAGTTTGGCATGGTGCCACTCAAAAGAGCTGATATGCAGACAGAAGGCAGAGAGTGGCTTTCAGGGGTGGGGACTGACGGAATAGAACGTTCAAGGCTCGTGTTTCAGTTTTGAAAGATAAAATTTGAGATCTGGAGACTGACTGGGTAATATATAAATGTCTTAACATTAGTGAGCTATACACTAAAAATAGTTATGATACTAGATTTTTTTTTACTTTACCATGACTAGAAAGTCTTAGAAGGGAGAAAAGCACCAGCAGCATATAAAGTCTGCTTTATCTGCTGGGATTTGATGATAAAGCTCATAATTAGTAGTTTCATAAGATCTAGAAAATATCCAAGAAAAGAAAAAAAAAAAAAAAAGAAAGAAAGAAAAAACAAATACTGGCCCTAATACTGGAATAGCAGTTAAGAGCTCTGGCTGCTCTTCTAGAGGACCCAGGTTCAATTCCCAGCACCCACATAGCAGTTTACAGCTGTACATGACTCTGTTCCTGGGGACTGAACACCCTTCTGTGGCCTCTGAGGGTTCCAAGAATGCACGTGATACACAGGCACACAGGCAGGCAAAACACCTATGCACACAAAATAAAAACCCTTAATTAAAGGGAAAGTGCTTTTTACTTCTTAGAGCATGTACTTTCCAGGTTTCTGTCACAGTATCTTAACCGAGTCCAGGGAGCTGTGGTCCCTGGCTGCCACCAGCCTGGTTAGGAGGGTCACTCTACCGCACCTGTGGTGACCATGGAGAATCTAACTGAGGCGACGTGTGCGCCCGCCCACTCTTCAGGGGCAGCAATGGCGGGGCCGGTGCTGTCCTCACAGTGGCTGCTTCCCTGTCTGTTCCTGGCTGAGCAGCCTCTAGCCCTGGTTCCTAATACACCCGGGCTGACCTAACATTCCATTAACCCTTCCTGCTTCATGGCCAGAACTGTGGGTGCTTATCACCAAGGACTTTGGCTCCTACACAAACACTTTGTGTTGACTATTTAGGCTATTCCAGTTCTTCACTGTAATGAGCAATTGAAATAAATATCCTCACACATATATTTCTGGTTATTCCTAATTTCTAAAATTCAAGGTTAGCTCATTTTATATTGTAAGCAATTTTGTTATTATGTTTGTGGCCAGATTTACTTCCTTTATAAAGAATATTTAAAAAAAAAACAGATTTCTAGATCAAGTTATTTAATACTTATTGGACGTTCTACTCCTTGCTCCACACACACACACACACACCCATGCACGCACACACGCATGCATGCATCCTGAAAAAAATTACTCTGGACTGCCCCAGTCATCATTTTCCAGAGCGTCTAAGTAAAAGATAGGAGAAGATGGACGTGAAGCCAGAAGACATGATACAGCTTCACAGTTTTACAGAGTAGGAAAGGGCTGTAGGACATTTCCAGAACTGAGAGTTAAGTCAAAGGACAGGACTACACCAAAAGACCACCGAGAATGGAGTATCTACGCCAGGTGTGGTGCCCACACTAAAATCCTGGTGCTTAGAAGGCTGAGGCAGGAGACTGTAAGTATGAGGCCAGACTGACTAGCTATATACAAGAAAATAAAAGAAACAAAATCATGGAGTGTCTAAAAGCAGAGAGTCCCTGGTGTGTGACAGCATGCTGCCACACAGGTGAGGTGTCGGAGGACAGTGCGCCCAAACTCACAGGACACTCGAGCAGACTTCTGGACCCATGGCACACACAGCTTTCTACATGTTCTGGCACACAGAAATAGCTCACGGGGCACAGCCATTAGTCTATCAAAGAAATACTGCAAAATCCATAAAGTTGTTGTCAGGGACAATTAAGATAATTCCACACGTTCTAGAGCCACAGTTGAGTTCAGACTTAAAGGCTTTGCTACACCATAAAATGCTAATGTGGCAGACCTGCCCATCTGTGAACGGGACAGTACTCACCTCCAGAGTCACAGCTCTCAGGAGCTCTGGCTTAGAATTGCACAGTGCTCCCACAAGCACCCCTCCAGCACTGAAAGCACTCAGTGTTGTTAGACTTGGCTGAGAAAAGCCTTGGCTATGAAGCGTCTTAATGCAAGCCTCTAAGTCAGCAAGGCCATTGAGTTTTTTAGTTAGACGGCCATCAGCATGCCACTGGAGGCCCAACTCACCACCTCCCCTGTAGCGGAAGAAAACAAAAACGATACAGTACAGGTCAGCAAACTGTATCACAGGCTCCTGTGGGGCACTGGAGCTCAGGATTGCTGTCATGCTTTTAAACACAACAAGAGGGAATACACAACAGACACTGTGATTGGCCTGCAAAAGCCTAAACCAGTACCATGTAGTCCACCATAGGAAACAAAACAAAACAAAATAAAAAGCTGGCTTTGTTCAAGATGATAAAAATCTGATTCAAAAACTATGCCTGAATGCCTACTGTCTACTTACTATAGACTGTCTTGAGAGAAGACCTTAAAAATGCACAAAGCTCACAGTGGCATGAGGAAAACAGCCACAGTCACCAGGCACTGTGGCTGCCGCTGTAACACAGCGGTTTTGAGCTGTGTTTGAGCTTTACCTGAGTGGTGTGTGTGTGTGTGCGTGAGAAGCACCACTGTAAGGGAAATGACTTAACTAGCAGTGAAGGAAGCGGGTTCTGGAAGTTAAGGAAGGGAAACTAAGACCCAGAGAAAACGGCATGTATGAGGACACGGAGGGGAGGGTGCCCACGCCAGCCGCTGGCACGAGGGCGGTGGATGCTCCAGAGGGAAGCCAGATCACGAGAATTTTACTGGTAAGTTTGGACCTTGTTCTGGAGATGGGAGGTGGAGAAGGTTTTAAGCAGAAATGAAATGTCTTGAAAACAGCTAGAATAAAATGGGAATTAGAGGGAAAGAAGTTCAGCTTAAAGAGGCTCTGTAAGCAAAGCCTACATTAGATTCACCCAAGCACATGCCTGCCATCTCAGCACTTGAAGGGCACTGAGTTCGCGGCTACAGAGTAAGACCCTGTCTCAAAAATTCTAAACATAGAAACCTGATTTCAAGAGAATTATGTGGAAATAACAATGGAACTAATCAAGCACAAACACTGCTACATCTAGTCCCAGGTCCTAAAACTACTCTTTTGTTCTTTGGATCAAATGAATCTGCTATCTGAATTCAAACCCATCATCAGGCTTAGGGAATACTTAAATCCAAAATACACACAAGAAAGGGAGCTTTTGCCCCTTAATACACTGAGTTTTATCCTTTGTGTCTGGTTTTTAAGGTTCCACTATATAGCCTAATAGAGGTTTGCCTGTCTCTGCCTCCCAAGTGCTGGCATTAAAGGCATGTGCCTGGCCCCTATCATACTGTTATTGTAGTTGTGTCAACATGCTGTAACGCTCATCTGCCAGGAGAAACGTGCTGACTCACCTAACATGGCAGTATGCCAAGATCCATCCATCATCCACCAACACCCGCCTCTCAGGCCTGAAATTCATCTTCAGATCCATTCCATATGCTCCATAGACGTGCACCAAGAGGGGCTTCTTCTGCAAGTCCTCAGAATCCGTTTTGTGAAAAATTGTCATTGGCACTAACTTTCCGTCCTGGAAACGAAGAGTATGTAAGGAAGCACCTCTGCTGCTGGGGATCAGGACAGATGCGAGGCACCAAGCCGATCCCCCACGCCAGAAGAGTTTTTAAATGGCTCGACCCCAGTTTAAACTAGCATGAAGTGCACTCCCAGCATGTTGCTTACTGCACCTGGACACCGGCGCTGTGAGCGACGGCAGCTGCATACACAGCTCTGGGCTTCAGCTACCTGCTGCTCTAGAATTAGCCAGGAAGGAGCAGCAGGACTGGCCTGAACATTGGCACAGCTTCGTACAGTAGGAAAATAACTTTGAAAAGCACTTGTCATTGCCCAGCTCTAATTTATTTCTTTTGGGTCAAGTCAAATGCTTATTTAGCTTGGAACTTTTTTTTTTTTTTTTTAAGTTCATAGCTTTATTTTATTTTATGTGTGTTAGTGTGAAGGTATCAGATCCCTTGGAATTGGCATTACAGACAGTTGTGAGCTGCCATGTGGGTGCTGGGAACTGAACCCGGGTCTTTTGGAAGAGCAGACAGTCCTCTTCACCACTGAGCCATCTCTCTAGCCCTAGGTTGGAACTTTTAGTATAACTTTCTCTCCGTGCCTAGGGCTAGACAGGGACAATTCTTATTTGTGAATATTTAGAAATATGCTGATTGAAACGTCCCACCAGCTTCATTTTCTCGAACCCCAGAAAAATGCTCAACATTAGTACATGAGCTCGCATGCAGACCATAGTGATGGCTACCTTCATCCTTCAAAGGCCTACAGAACTTTATGAATGCAAATAAAATTATTTTCGATGTGTTTGTCTGCATCACACGTGTGCAGCGCCAACGGAGGCCAGAAGGAGGTGCTACATTCCCTGGGACTGGAGTTTCAGAGACTGTGAGTCAACAAGCGGTTACTAGGAAGAGAAGCTGAGTTTTCTAGCTGAAAATAAACCCCTCTTCTCTCACTTGTTTATGGTCGTGGTGCAACAGAAGCCCTAACTAAATAGTACTCTTTCGGAGAAGGCTGCCGACTACGGAAGGTCCTTTTGCCAAGTTTCCAGTGTCCTCAATGTGCTTTCCTTGGTGGCTGTCAGTGCATTGTAATGCTTTCTTCAGCCTCTGGCACTGTCCATGCTACACTGAAGCCTCATGAAGGCTAGAACTGTATTAGTCTAGTCTAATATAATCAACTATTTACTGTACTTTCAAAGTTACTGCCATAATTGTATACCAACTTTGACTATTTACTTTTTATTAATTCAACTTTAAAATTCAAACATAAGCAAGTTAAATGAAAGGCTTAGTATACTAGACTTTTTAAAATCCATGTTAAAATTAAAACATGTTTTTAAAGTTTGAAAAAAAAAATCTATGTATTTCTAAAATCATCTGGACCTTTTCTAGTGTAAGGGATTTTCCAAAAACGGTGCTGAGGCAGCCCTGAAGCTGACTCTGGCACTGTGCAGTTTCAGTGCCTGGGAGCTGGAAGCAGAGATTACAGCACCTACCTTGCTTTTGGCCTCTATGCGCAAAACACGACTAGTCTTTGTAATGGGATCTTCATGACCAGTTTCCTCAAACAGTTTGCCTTCTGCAAATTTGTAGGTGTAATATTTTGGGGGTCTTATTGGAGAGCAAAGCTGGAAGGGGCAGTTCTTTGGGTCAGAATTTGTATCCATTATAAATCCACAGGCCCAAGGAGGGAGCTGAAGAATAAAAATTATTTTCACTAATTAATATTAAAGTTTTTGAGTCTATTCCAAACAAAATGTTGTGGCTATCTACTTTACTTTTTGTTATTACATGACACATCATTTAATAATTACTCCATTGTGACAAAATAGGTATCAAGTAAACAAAACACTGTATCAGTTACCAATAAGATAAAGAAAAATGTAGGAAATAGGTTTATCATGATTCCAGATTTACATGAAATTGCTTTGACCATCAAGTTTATTTGGGAGTATAAACTTGGGTGATGAAATAACTAAGTGGCTAAGAATAAGCCCAAGGAATAGTAATCCTATCCAGCAGCAGCCCTTGGTCTGCTCTCACAGAACATGAGATCCTCATGTGGATGTTTGGAGTGATTTTCCCACCAGTCCTTCGCCAGCTGCCTGGACAGCCGTGATGAGGCTACAAACGGGCCCAGCAGCACTAAAGCATTTACAATTTGTTTCTAACTTTAGCTTCCAGGCTGACCATTGTGCTGAACAAAACCTTTCCAGGCACAATGACTCAGAGAGTCATAGCTATTATGCTCAAGATTCTTAACTTTAAGAAAAATGGAAAGGAATCAAAATTTATTCTCTTAGAGCAGCAGGGTCCAGAGTCAAGCCTTCCTCTAACATCCCACTTACACCTTTTAAAGAAGCCTGGTAAGCAGGTTGACAGAGTGCTCGAAAGGTTCTGAGACTACGAATGTGAAAAGAAAATTGCCTTTCTTTTTCTGAGTAATTGTAGAAAGAGCAAATTCCTTAGAAAATCAGAGGTCTTGGCACACAACATCACTGGCGGGCACTACTGGAGGAAGGGCTGTGAGCACCGAGAGTACAGACTTCCACTGCAGAAACCACGGCCAGAGAGCACAGTGGTCAGGCACACTCCCCCAATTAACCCAGCGTCTTCTTTCAGGAAAACTAACAAGGACACACATTTGAGGCTGATCTCTATTTGAAAGAAAGAAACCTAACTGTGGCCTAGCAACCATCAGGGTAGGTATAAGATTCCTGGCCCCCAGGGGCGCAGGGTTTCTTCTTCCTCTCTATAAAACTTAATGATGGCCACGGAATACGTTGTTTTAGCTTTAGAACAACTGATACCAATAAATCATAGTTTGGGTTTTTCCAAGGTTAAAGGTTAAAGCTTTAGCTGTAACCAGAACTGTTCCAATGCTATGGACTCCAGAACATCTGCCCAGCTGACTGAGAGTGTTAGCGGTCTCAAGGGCATCTTCAGACACGTTCCCCACTGAGTGGTAACACACTGAAAGACATTTGGCCTGGAGATAGACTCTCCAGCAAATGCAGATGACAGCACACAGGGGAACATTTCTTGGGCTTGTGGGTGGGGGTGACATATGACTTAGTGGCTGAGTTTATATAGTATGTTCAGTGCCTGGATAGTCCCCCTAGAATTAAATCAACCATCCTCAACTTACTTTCCAGATATTACAATCAAATATTTTTCTTTCTCTGTCTCGTCTTTCTTTTAGAGACAGGGTTTTTCTGTGTAGCCTTGGCTGTCGTGGACTCACTTTGTAGACTAGGCCTGCCTCAAACTCACAGAGACCCCCCTGCCTCTGTCTCCCCAAGTGTGGGGATTATACCGTGCACGACTATATTTTTCTTTTTTAAAAATATACTGATGACATGATGACCAATGATAAGAAGTAAATTCATGAAAAGTTAACACTTGCATTGCTGCAGATTGCATCAAGTGTCCACTAGGTATAGATGTTATATACATGGAAATATATTCCCAACTACTCACACTGTGGCTAAAGATTTTGCCTTTTATACACAGCATAGTCTATGGATGTTTATCAGTGTTATTCAGCATCACGCAATTATAAAATTACGTTTAAGTAGCATGTGGTATGTACTAAAGCATTTGATTCTTTTTGATGAGGATGTAGAACAGTATTCAGGGTATAACAGGTACCTACAGTTTGGAACAGGTCAGAGAGTGGTGAGAGAAATGATATAGCAAAAACTAAAGACAGCATTTTTTTGTGAAACAACAAATTCTTTAAGTAAGACTACTTATTAAAAATAAGAAAACGTCATTTTTACTTAGAAGACTAGTCTTAGGGACTGGGATACGGCTCAGTTGGTAGAGTTCTTGCATAGCATGCACGAAGCCTTGGGTTCAAACCTGGCACGACGTAAAACCAGGTATATGGTCCATGCCTATAATCCCAGCACAGGAGAGGTAGGGCAGGAGGACCAGAAGTCCAAGGTCAACCTGTACTATCCTAGCCCTGATAAGTCTCTACATGGCAGTCCCACTTTTCTTGATATACAACTGTAATAAATGCATTGCTAGAAGTTAACTATTTTCCCATTCTTGTTTATGTGGACTGCAATGAGGATATATGTTCTCTGCCAGCTTTCCAACTGCAGCAGATGGAAACAATAGGAAAGTCCTGAAGCAATAATCATTTTTATTTCGGGATACCTACATAGACATCTAAGAGACTCAGTGTTAAACTTAGCAATGTGATTTTAGAAAGCAACCCAAGAATCCTAATTGTCACAGGCTCCCATTGTTCATTTGTATCTGTAGAACAATCTTGAAGTTCATCTCCCTGATTCCTATCTGTTTGCTCCAGTCTTCACTAATATAGTTGTCTAATAATCTCATGAAGTATAGTTCCAGGGGCTCAAACTATTTCCCTGTCCAAAAACTGTTTCCTCTGTTATAATTTATACAGACTGCTCACACCAGTTAAAAAGCATTATACTGCTGGGCAGTGGTGGCTCACGCCTTTAATCCCAGCACTTCGGAGGCAGAGACAGGCAGATCTCTTTGAGTCTGAGGCTACCCTACTCTACAGAGTAAGTTCCAAGACAGCCAGGGCTACACAGAGAAATCCTATCTTGAGCCTTCTCTTAAAAACAAAACAAAAAAACCAAAACAAAAACCAAAACAAAAAAACTCCATTATACCAAAACTTCATTGTCCAGGAATAATTTCTCCATTGGCAAAATAGACCTAAGAATTGGTTCCCTGAAGAGATGTATGGACTTGAGCTTAGAGCTGTGTTTCTCATTCTTGGATATGACAGGTTATTCTGCATATCAAATTCCTATCTGTCCTCTTTAGTTTATCTCTATTATTCTAAAGAAGCTTTCCTGAGTCAAGAATTCTTCCCTTCCTTTGAGCTCTATGACACATTTTGTTTTTAAAACCACTATTTAAAACTAACTTATATTTAAGCTTTGTGTTTTGATATTTGTCTAATATCATAAAAACTTTGCTCATTAAGGCCATATATTTTATTCTGCTGTTTTACCATTCTATGAGGCTGTGTATATTCACTTAATGCTGCTTTGAAAATGGACAGTAAGGTTGCCATTCATTGATTTGTCAGGTTCATTTCTGAAGGCATTTTATCACTTGCCTTGGAAGGCATACATAGTATTAACTAGTTAGAGATGCCTCTACCATCCTTCTGTGTCACAGAGACCACTGACATCTGTGTATTGAAAGGGAGCAGGTACATACCTCATGGGTAAGAAAACTGGCAAAGAGAGAAGATGCAAATACATGCATGTGATGGAAACACAGTGAGGTGACTACTGTCCTTCTGGGATGTGGCCCCCACAAGCAGCAGTCAGTGCCTGGGTACTAACTACCAAGCAGGGCTCAGTTATTGCTGCTCCTCACACTGAAAACATACCTGACCACAGAGCTACGCAGAAAGACAAACATAATGAGCCCTGGCACTAGTTCTGAAATCCATCTGTGAGTCCATTGGTTTAAGACTGCATTAAACACAAGGTCTCTCAAGTCATTCTAAAATGATTCTAGACCTGATAAAAAGCCAGTATGCTAAAATGCACTTCAACTGAATCCCTTTTTAAGAAAAGTACCCGGCCCTGGAATTTCTCTAGTAAGCCAACCTGTGTTCCTGATAAGTACAAAGAGTAGACGTACCTTTAGAGAGCGTACTGAGTCGTCAGCCAGACCAATCACATTAACATATAGCAGATTGCTGTGTTTCAGGAACAGAACACAGTGGTCCTTAAACATGTCCAAGTCTACAACCTTGGTATTTCTCTTCATTGTGAAAAATAAATCCCAGTTCATAATAGCAGGGGCGTCAGCTGCCGTTCGCATCAGCTGCATGAACAAGGTTAGGAGAGACCTAGGTGACAAACTCTACGGCTGCAGCCTTCAGGGGTGAGATGACTGGAAAGGAGAGCACACCAGCTGTCACTACTTCACGACGAGCTGTATCAGGGTCCAAGTGTGAATGTCACCATGCTAGCCAGGTTAGCAGGTTGTGTGGTACCATAACTAGCCAAGCGTCAGCCAGTGGACAATGGATGCAATGGCATGCCTGCCTGAGACTAAGTCAACTGCCAACTCAAAATCACGAGTGCTCTTCTGAGCCAGCCACGTTTCGTTTTTATAACACAAACACTAAAGAATGTTTCATTTACTTAGGTTTTAAGTATAGTTATAGTAGGTAGAAATGTTAGCTCCAAGGGAAGGGAAATAATGGAAGAGAAGAGGGACTGATACTGTCTAAGAAAGCAGTGTCAATTACACACTTTAACTCCCCACCCCCATACTCTCTTATAGCAAGGAAGGTTGGTGCTAGAAAGCTGACACTTTTAGGAACCCATCCCAATGGGGAACAAGCAGAATGGAGAACTACCTTGAATTCTGTCGGTTCTCCAACATTAGTGAGGATGTATAATTCATCATCTCGATGCTCAACATAGTAAAGAACACCGTGTATTCTCTTCTGGATAAGTACTGGCGGGTCCCAGGGGCTCAGGCCGTCTATCAACCACACCTCAGAAGTCGTCTTGTTCATAATATTCAAGGTGAGGAAACGACTGTCTTTTGTAAGATATAGGAAAACAAAATAGCTAGAAAGAAGAAAAAAGCACAGGATTTCATTAAGTCATTATTGTACTTGTTGCAGACTGGGATATGAGTAGGAAATCCCACTTTCACAGTCTGCAACATTATTAGATATGTAAGCAGTAAGGCTGAAATGACTTGCATGGATATATATATATTTAAATAAGGGGTATATTTAGAAGCAGGAAAAGAGCTGGAGCTGAGCTACAAACCCTGGAAGACATTTGGAATCAATGGCATCATTTGGAGTGGACGCCACTATCCAATCTTTAAGTGTCTCAGGTGAAATGCTACAGAATACTAACAACTGAACAAGAAATGTTTTTTTTTTTCTTGGGGTGGGGTGAGGTGGGGTGGGGTGGGAGACTAGCTAGATGACTCAGCAGTTAAAAGCATCAGCCATTCTTCCAGAGCACCTCGTTCAATTCCTAGCACCTACATGGTAGCTCACAACTGTCTCTAACTCCAGTTCTTGCAGATCTGGTGTTCTCTTTGGCCTCTGTGGCATGCATGTGCTACACAGACACACATGTAGGCAAATGCCCATACAACATAATAGAACAAAATTTTAAAAAGAAAGAAGTGATTTACTCAAGATCAATCTTACAAGCATCTGTGAAATAATTACTAGAACTCCTTGCAGGGTCCTCTTTTGATTTCTTTTGGGCTTTTGAGATAGCCCTGTGCAGCCCTGAAATTGACTATGCAGACCAGGCTGTCCTCACAGAAGGACACCTGCCTCTGCCTCTCAAGTGCTGGGACCGAAGTTGTGCACCACCACACCCGGCTCTAATTCTCTTTCTTATCAGAAAAATTAAGCTCCAACATAAAAGTGAAACGATGGGTGAAGAGCTAAAAAGCTGTCTATTTTGTTGTTTAATTCCCATAAATTTTTAGCTGTCTGGGCAAAACATACTAATTTCTAAATCATTACAGATGTACGACTAAAATTCCTCTGGAAATTTCTAAGATGTCAATGATTGGCATTGGCACAATATAATCAAGGTTACTCTGAGCCTATTTCCCAGGGCTATTTGGGGTTTGGACCCAAGAATCTTCAGAGACCAGGCCACTTTCCTTGCTTTTTAAAACTGAGACCTGTTCTTGGTGAATAGTATTTCTGCCAAGAAAAAAAAGAAGTGTGCAATGGTAGAGGTAATGGTGTGGGGAGGCGGGTTGGTGTTGGAGCTGTTGACTATTCGGTGACGTAAAAATCAGATTTTAAAAATTTAGCATAGATATTTCCCTTCACAATCTGTATAATACAGTTTTCATTAGAATGTATGGATTCTATGGCTCTAGAAATAGATATATTAAAAAACAAAGAGTCAATATTTAAAGTGCTCTTTAAGAATATGTTAGCAGGCACTTCCCTGACCATAAATTTAAGAGACAGTCTACCATCAAAATGAAAACTTGTTTTAAAATAATCAACAACTGAAGTACTAGAAGAAAAGATGATGGGAACTGTGGCTGATGGGTACTCTTTGTGGCCACATTTATAACATTTTCCTAATTTGGTATCCCAGATTGATAGAATTTGGAACTCTATAGATTAGTTCTAGAAGGTAGAATAATAAAGTAATAATTTCCCCCATTCTCAGCACTTCAAGTCAACAATAGCAGTACTTTAAATAGTGGGGAATACTTTGGGGAAAGCGTGTAACTGCATCATTCTAGCACCTTGGGTCTTTTTCTGTGTAGAAACGCTCGTTACGTTTGTTGTCCCCAAATGTGGCTCGATACGCATCATGGCAGCGAAGATTCCTCTGGAAGGTGTAGAATAAGACATCTTCATCTTCTTCATCCTTTACCCATTCTGAAAGGGAGGAAATGAATTAACACACAGCTGCCTGTGCTCCGATGGTGAATGCCAAGTAAAGGAGTGTATAAGCTGATGCCCAGGATCTACATATTGCATAAGCTTGATTTAAAAATGTGAGTTTAAATACAACCTAGAGAACATAAATAAAACCCCGAGACACTGATCCAAGTTCCCATTACTTAGTCTCAATCTACTTAAGCACCTAAATAAAAACCCATATTCAATGTTAAGGACAACTATTGGTAAAGTCACATTTGCTTTTGGGAGATGGTTGCTAAACTCTGAGGAAACACTGACTACATCCCTGCTTCTAGAGAACAGGACAGCTCAAGCTGCCAAACCCACCTTAACAGGTCCTTCCCTTCATCATTCATCATTATCTATGTTCACTTTGTCTTCCCTTTACATTGCTATTATTTTCTGAATTGTTTAATTAGATGCTTTTGCATTAAATTGAAATTATATTCTATCTAGTGCAATCTTTTGTATGTGTTAGTCATCGTCTCTCTGTCTCTCTCTCTGTGTGACCATAACCTATCAATGGAGATTTGCACACAATTATATCATGACTGCCACCTGGCTGACAGTCATTGTAAGTCATTACTAGGTAATACACACCTTGATCTTAGAGGTTTGACGAACAAATGTATTTCTTAGGCTTCACTGTGCTGGGGCTGAGGAGAAATATGGGTACTGGGGTCTGAATCATAAAAAGCTGTGCATGGCCGAAACCCCAGGAACTGGGGGCTAAGAGATTGTAAAGGCTTCCTGTGTGGCCAGCCAGTCAGCTCAGCCAATGTGGGAGCTTCTGGCTCAGTTGTAGATCTTGTCTCAAAGCACTAAGCAGGGAAGATGGCCAATGTCCTGTTCGCACCTTCATATGAGCAAACATGGGCACACTCACGTGTGCAACATAGATACACGGACACAAACAAATACACACACACACAGAGACAGACAGACAGAAGGAGGGACAGAGAGAGGATGCTAGCATGGGTGCTGAAAACTGACCATGTATCCTCTACAAGAGTAACAGACTCACTCCTAACCACTGAGCCATATCTCCAGACCCCCATAAGCACAATTTTAAGGTGACCCACTTAGATAGATAATTAAAGGAGTATTTTGTAGTGAGAAATCCATAGGAGGACATGTAGTCCACAGAGAAATGGACCAGGCACTGCCTGCCATGGCTAAGGAGTATCCGAAGCATGAGAAGCATTTCATGGCTGCCTTTCAAAAGACTTCTTGGTGGCTTACCAAAACTGGACACATTTGGGAAAGAAGCTTCCATGACAGGCTGATCACTGAGCTTCACAACTATGCAGGTGGAGTTTTCAGAATCCTCAGTCCTTATTTTGGCAGCCACGTATTTCTCATCGGGAGCAACTCTGATACAATCAATGAAGGGCTGGTCTAATTTAAGTTCTTCCAGGTTGAATAAAACTTCATAATTATCACTGTCTGCTGTATAAAGGAAGGTAGGAGAGAAAGAATTCCACAATACATCTTGTAAATCATTTAAGACCATATCTTAACATTTTAAATTGAGGCCATATAGTGATGTCCTTCTACAACTGTTATTTAAAATATTTTATTCAAATTATTCTACATACCAACCTATGAGCTATTGTGATAGTCTAGAGCAGTGGTTCTTAACCTTCTTAACTTTGTGACCCTTCCTCATGTTGTGGTGACCCCCCAACCATAAAATTATTTTCATTGTTATAATTTTGCTACTTTTATAAAGTTTAATTTACATACATTTGTAGCTAGAGATTTTCCAAGGGGATGCAACCCACATGTTCAGAACTGCTAGTCTAGTATTTACAGAATTTACAGAGAATACAAATGACTCATATACCTAGCACAGCACTCAGACAGAACTGGACTCCATCTCCACTCTCACTGTTAAAGTTGCTGAGTGTGGGCTGTTAACTCTTTTATCTATGTTAACCAAGATATTAATCCAATCATCTTAGAAATAATCTTAAAAAAATCTATTCTAATAGCTTTGAGCAACAACTATCAAGCTCCTGTTAAAAATGTGAAAACCGGGAAGCCAGGACATCAGTAAAGATATGTGGTTTACCTTCTTCATCTTTGGAACGAACCAAGCAGCAGCCTTCTTGGTAATAAACAAAACCACCATGCTTAATCTGACAATAAAGAAAAAACAACTCTTTATTATTTGATAATAATTTAATTATTTAATGGCTTCACTAGTTCAGATGAAGAGAGGAGACTTATCATGAGAGTCAGAGCTACTGAAGTATTAATGAATGAAATACAAAATGAACCATTTTTACACACAGGTAGCAAGAACAGATTTCCTAAGTTCAGAATTGGTGATTTTTAATACATCAATGCAAGGGCATAACAAAATCTATGTTTGTTCATCTAATATCTGTACAGTGAGATTCAATTAAGAATATCAAGTGGCACTGTTAAGATAATCCAAAATGATACAATGAAAAAACTGTGGCTATTTGAAATGCCAATAACATTCTGGCATCTTCTTTTAAAATCACTGTCATCATCAACTGTGCAGTACTGATTTGATTTTATACAAAGCATACTGTTGGATGGTAAACAGTGCTTGAGATCAAGAAAATAAATATTAATTTTTCAATTTCTCTGTTCAATACAGTATTTAAGACTGATAATTATAAAATGATTAACTGTATACTTAGCTTTACTAAAGTAATTTTCCTTTTATAAAAACATAGACACAACAAAAATATTTTTGAAATAATAAATAGATAGTTTTGTATGAACCTCTCTTTAGAATTTCTACAACTTTACATCAATTACATTCCATGCTTTAAGTTTTAATTTTAAGGATCATATTCTATTTATTGCTTACAGTTGAGAATGCTAGCACACTTGAGAGGCTAAATGCAACTTGATTTTGATGGAATCTTATGTCTCTGAATTATGAAATGCCTCATTTGCATCTGAACTGACAACACATTCAGTTCTCCCAGAAGACACAATGCAGCTTACCTCAGCATTGATGATTTCGTATTCTTCTTGCGGCTGTGTTTCTAATTTTGTTCTCACTTTTTCAAATGCATCCATGTTTTCAGAAAGAGATTTTTCGGCTTCTGGCTTAATAGGCAGAAGATCCTAGAAACATTTTTGGTGGTATGATCAAAATCTTTCAAACTCCGGGGGAATGTCTTTGCTTCTTAGAATTATTATACTTGTCATGCAGGTATTACAATGATAGCTGTGTATAAAATGAGTTTTACAAATCTTGTTCTTTCTTAAGCTCATCAAAAGAAAACAGACACTAGATACATTATAATAAGTGCATGAGTCCTCAAGATACTTCTAGAAGCAGTAAGAAGCCTTGGCAATGTTTAGAAAGACTACATACAGTTAAGGAGGAAAAAGAATTCTTTGAACTTTTACATATGTAATTAAAATGAGTCATAGAGAAAAAAAAAAGCCTGCTGAGTTTCCTAAGTACTGAAATATATCCTAAAAGGAAGAAAATGTCAGAGAGGAAGGCATTTCTTAACTAATCAATGTGGGCTATTAATTCATAGAACAATTACAATATTTATTCTGTGTTATTAGCACATTTTCTGTTGTTGAGATACGTAACTTCACAAATATTAACTGTTGAGCAGATCTTTGTGAAGCCCTGGCTGTCCTGGCTCACTCTGTAGACCAGGCTGGCCTGAACTCTTAAGAGGCTGGCCTCTGCCTCCTAAGCGATGGGAGTAAAGGTATGTGTCACCACCACCTGGCTCCTCCCTTTCTGTTTAAGTGATAGTTCATTATAAAAAAGGAAGGAAAAGCAAAGGGACTTAATGGTGGGTAGAGATGGAGAAGAAACCACATAATCACCCACCGTGCTTCCTCAGAGTAAAATGCTAGGTGCTCTGGGCGCCTCCTGGTAAGGGGGTAGGTACTAGAGGCTTCATCAACACTTGGATAAGGCTAAACCTAAAACCGCCGAATCAGAAAAACGTTCAATAACTCAACACTCCACTGCTTTGCCTTGTTTAAACGGAAGGTTAGTTAAGAAGTCTGATTGTTCAACTCTCGGCCAGGGAAGACAGATGCACAGAGATGGTGCTAGCGAGGCACTGGGCTGCTGGTCAGGACCCTGGCGGCTGACACTTGTTCACAACCTAAGTACATTCATGGTACTTTACCAACAATGTTGAGACTGTAAGTTACAAATGTAGTTTGTATTGTAAAGAATTTACAACCTAAAAGTAAGCACAATAAAACAGGAAACTCAAACAGACTAAATGGAAATTATTTTCACAAAGTTATTCTTTAAAAAATTTTTGGGATGCTTTAATGATCTGGATTAGATTACAATTAGTCATCATAGTTGTTATGGTAATCTCAATCTTTCAGCATCTATTTTCTTTTAAAATTATTATATATTAATAATGTTAGGGCATGCGGAGGTTAAAGAGCTTGTGGGAGGCAGTTTCTCCATCACTACACGGAGGTGAACTGAGGTGGCAAGTCTTGGCAGCAAGCACCTTTACCCACTGAGCCATCTTATCAGTCTCTCAACTTTCACTTTCCATCAGACAGTTAATTTTTGAGTAATTATTTGAAGTCAAAATAATGAAGGTCTGACAATTTATTTTCATTCATATTTTTGCATTCCTATAATTTATATGGCTGATGTTTAGAGTAAGGCAAATATATCAATAACCCTCTAATATTGCGGAGAATATTAAATGCTAAACTAGAATATGACTAGAAATCTGTTTTGAAATTCTCTTAGCATATAAGAGCCTTGAAACTGAGCTTATCTGAATCCTAAGACTACTGACTGCCTTACTGAAGTTTTTCTTTCTTTTTTTCTTTTTTTTTTAGACAGAGTCTCCTCACTCTCAGGCTGCGCTTACACTTTCTGTGTATTGGAGGTGACCTTAAATACCTGATCCCCACCTCTGGAGGGCTGGGATTACAAATGAGTGCCATCACTCCCAGTTTGTGGTCTGGGACTCTGAGGCAGGGCCTTGTGCACACTGTCTAATGAGCCATGTTCCCATTCCCATGCCTGCTGAAATCTTTGGAAGCCTTCATGAAGCAAAAAGAAGTACTTTTTGCCACTTTCCAAAAGCCCAACATAAAATCCACTTTAACAATGAAAGGTAATATTAATCAAATGTGCAACCTTATTATGGTAAAAATGTTAAACTTTCAAGACAAAAAATTGTGAGGTGGAAAAACAATGAATGACGATGAGATCTGCATAAATGGCTAATTCCAGATCTTGGCACGGGAGAGCACGAGGTGGGCTTGGCAAACCTTGAACCTCAAAAGAAGGTTCTCAGAATAACAAAGGCATGTCAGCAGGACATAAGGGACAGTGTAAAGGAGTGTCCATTAGCCACACGTGGGGTAATTTGAGCTGTTATCAAAAATAACAACTAATTAGTTACAATACACTGAAGAAGCAAAATCTACAAACAAACAAATAAAAAACAAAACCTGTATCAAATAAAAGTGAAAAGGGAAAAAGGACTTCAAAGAAACTTTACCAAATAAAAGTAGCTAATAAATGTGGGAAGTACGAAAGACTAATCATTTGGAGAGCTCTGGAAGCAAATAGGTCTAAACTCATCAGCAGGGCTGAACTCTCTGGGCCAACAATACTGCAAAACATTCACAAAGCACCAGCCTTACTGCTTACAGGAAGAATGACGTCCCTTTAGCAATGGGGACCACTGGCAGTTAATGCTTTAGCTAAAACAATCGTTAATGGTGGGACAAACCAACACTGCACCTCAAGTAGAGAAAACAGAAAGGCCGCAAAAGAGAAGACACTGGCTGTTTCAATGAAATCACTTAACAAAGAAACTGGAGAGACACAGGAATATACAAACCCATTCCCTATCCCCCAAAACCTCCTAAACAAGGCAAAAGTATGGTAAAACTGATCAAGGAAAAGAAGACAGAGAACATTAGATATGAAGAACATGGTGTAATTAGTTATAATAGAGATTAAAACATTTTTAATTTTTAATATATTTCATTAGTTATTTGAGAGTTTCAAACATGCATATAACTGTTATCTTGATCATATGGGGGAATCACCAGATCCAACTCCACTGCCTCCCAAGTTCATGCCCACCTCCTACTTTTTAATCCAGAGTCCACATCTGTGTTTCCCATACACTCCTTTGTGTGGAGGGCCATCCACGGGGAACGTGTTCCCCCTAACAGGGGCCACACCCTTAATGAAAGTGGGCTTTCTCTCCCAGAGAAGCCATCAACTCTCACCAGCTTCTCAGTGAGGGGAGGGAACCTGTGAGGCCCTTGCCTCTCCATGCTAAAATACTGACTGGTTGATTCTGATCCACCAGTGAGTTCTTCAGCACAGTGGTTCCCAAGCTAATATAGGACATGAAAATGACTATACAAAACGCAGTAAGTATTTCAAAATTGTGTAAGAGATTATCTCCTTCTTGAAAAAAAGTTAAAGCCCAATGCTTTCAAAGGTAGTTATATTGAACTAGATACGGTGACCTATGCCACTGAAGGATGATTTATGGTTTGAGATTAAGTCTGGGCATTATAAAGAAATCCTGCCTCAGGTATTTCTACCACTTCTACACCTCCTTCACTGCTCCCCAAATCAAAGGGAAAAACCCCACCACTCATAGTCAACTATTTAATAGAACAAGGAAAAAGGTAAACTTACTCAGATTACCTTATTAGGCTAATATAACCTTGACCCTAAGGCTCAGTGACAACACACATGGAAGTCTGCTCTAAAACTATCTGCACAAGATATTCCTGTGCTTCACCTCTTCCTTACGCCTATGCTCACATGCCATACTGTTCGTGCCTCCAGCCTCTGCCATCTTATATAACCTAGAATGTGCTTCCTTCTATTCCCTGACCCTATTCTTTTTTTTTTTTTTTTTTTTTCATTGTACCAGGTCACTTCCAACTCATTCTTTTTGTTTCAGGAACAAAATTTCATTTATCCCAGGTTGGCCTTGGATGTCCTTTATGCTATGTAGTGGAGGATCACCATAACAGTTATCTTCTTGTACCGACCTCTTGAGTGCCGGGACTGAAGGAGTTTGGCACCATTCCCAGTTGTGCTTGTTGAACCCAGGGCTTCATGCATGCTAGGCAATCACTCTACCAACAGGGCTATATGCCTAGCCCTCAGTAGTTTATACTTACATTTATTTTATAATGTCATTTCTGTTGACAAAAAAATTGAAACTCAAAGCTGAGCTCATTGTCTGAGATACTGATAGATCTAATTGTCTACAACGGCACAAAAATCTAAACAGGGAGAAGACAAGACTTTTTTTTTGAGGAAGAAAAGCTTTTGGAAAATAGTAATGAGAATATTGTAAGACAGAAAGAAAAGTACATTTTCCCCAAAAAAGGGGAAAAAGAAAATCAATCTTGGGCTCAGGCACAGAGTTTTTACTTGGCATTAAGACCACCCTAGGTTCAGTCTCAACCACCCCAAAACAGCATCAACACAAAACCCAATCTTAAATAAGATGGGATCAAACTGTTATTTTAAAAATCCACAAAACAAAACAAAACACCTACTAATAGTAAGAACTCCAACAGCTATGCAGCCAAGTGGGGTTCTTCCTGAGGATGATCAGATGACCCATCTTTGGAAAAGTTGACCAGCGTCCAGTGCCATGCAGTGCTAATAAGATCTACCTTCCTTATTTTTCATTGATTTTTATTTTTATTGTGTGTCTGCCGAGAACAACTTGGAGAAGTCAGTTCCCTTTTACTTGGCATTGATTCAGTCTCAACCACCCCACACAGCATCCACACTAAAACCACCATCCGGTTCTGTGACTTGAACCCAGGGCTTGAGCTTAGGATTGGCAGTGAGTGACCTCACCTGCCGAGCCACCTCACTTAGCCCAAAAAGTAAATTTTGAGGCCCTCTGAATAAACATAATTTACAAATTTGGAAATGTGCTAAAACATTAAATTTGTAAACGAAGAAACTCCCTTGACAGTTTCTGGTAGTTGTCTTATGTAATATATTAAATCTGTATCTAACATATCTGAAATATATATGTAAATCAGGATATAATGTAGTTATCATTTGTGAAATACTATCAAGCCTTAAAACTCTAATTATAGTGGCTGGAGAGATGGCTCAGAGATCAAGAATACTTCCTACTCTTGCAGAAGACCTAGATTCAATTTCTAGTGTCCACACAACAGCTCACAACAGTCTGTAACCCTACTTCCAGGGGATTTGATTCCCTCTTGTGGCCTCCATGGACATCAGCCTTGGACATGGTACACAGACATACCTGTAGGCAAACACTCAAGCATATATAAAAAATGTGAATCTATAAAAGTAGAGGCATAAAGCTAGTCCAGATAAATTTTAGAATTTTGTAACTCTGAGCACACACACACATACACAGACTGCCCCCACTGGTAGCATCTGTTAATCAAATGACACATTTAACGTTAATTAATTTAATATTTAATGTCAAGATTAAAGTTCTTTCTTTCTCTCTCTCTCTCTTTTTTTTTTTTTAATTTTGATACAGGATTTCTCTGCATAGTCCTGGCTGTCCTTGAACTTTATCTTTTGTATCTTGTTCAAATAGTCATGATCGGTTATTTTTGAAGTCATTTATTTATAGGAGAATAATGCAAGATGGTAAGAAGGTAAGGACCTGGTCTCTGCTCTCACACTAGTGTTTGAGTATCACTGGCAAATGTTAGTGCAGTAGAATGACTCCTACCAGCTGCTTAACATACTATGGAAACTTCAGATACTGGCTGAAAAGAACGTTACAACTGAATAATCAGGGTTAGATCAGCAACACTCATCACCAAGTACCTTCACTTTCTAAATATAGATATATGGATAGCGGCAGGCAAGCCCTGCATGTCAGTTATCCAAGGGACTTAACAAACAAACAAATAAAAAACAGACTTCTGGCTGGGTATGATGCCTATAATCCTAGTTACTTGAGAGGCCGAGGCAAGAGGATTGTATGAACAATCATTCTGGTCAACACAGAAAGATCTTGTCTCAAAAATAAACAAGAAATCAGATCCTTACTCCTCAGCAACAGACATTCTGATGCAACAGAAATGGCTTAAGATCTAGGAATCTGCATTGATAAAAAGCTCCTAGGATTGCTTGTCTAGTGTGCAGAAGTTGGTACTGAAGAATCCAAAATTATGATAATCAGTTGCCAAGGAAAGTGGGCATAGTGAGGTTTGAGGTTGTTGTTGTTGTTGTTTTTTTTTTTTTTTTTTTTTTTTTGCTGTTGTTGTTTTTTTGAGTGAAGAAAATTAAGATCCCTGATGAGTCTACAGTCATACCAGTTCTGGCTAGTTCTTTTCCTTTTTAGTTTTTCTATTACATATGCTGTCTTCCATTGTTCTTCAGGTAACTTCTCTAGAAGTGCGTCTTTAAACAGACCTGTTCCTATCCTATCCTGTCCTGTCCTGTCCTATCCTATCCTATCCCTTGTAAAAGTGGACACATATAGAACTTAGTGGTACCTAGCAAAAGAAAGAAATGTGCATTTCTGCCTCCAGAGTATTTTCACAGCTGTGGGGTTATCGTTAAAAGTTGTCCTCAGATTTCAGTAAGCATAATGAAGAAACAGCCCGGCATTTTGATAATTTTATTTGCCATAGAAGGACTGGTTGACATATAAAATGTGGGGAAGGAGAGCTGCTTTGTCAGTGGAAGAAGTCCATAGAAGAGTTTCTATTTGTAGAGTTGCTGTCAGGTCAGTTTCTAGGAGTGGGAGTCTACGACAAAATTAAAAGTTGCCTCAGAGACAAATGGCTTCAGAGACAACCTCTTGGCCTGGGGTATGGGCTAATCTCACAGCTGCTCCTCTGATGGTAACTCATGCTTACTATTTATAAACCAAGACAAAATGACATAGTGTTTTAATCATGATGCAAAATAAAACAACTCAAAGGCTTAGAGCAGTAGGTAAACTTTAAACTTTATGAGTATAAAGTATGGCTATAAAGTCTACATTAAAAATAAAACCAGAAAATGGAAGTTTCTAGGTGTGTAAAGTTAAGAATCACAGAGCCAAGCTAACATTTCAAAGGAAAACAATCTAGAAGATTGAAATCTAGGAAGTGGAGGGGAGAGGACTCAACATGAAAAGACATATATGTGCACCAAATAATTAGCTAAGAACAAAAAACTGAGTAAAAACTAAAAACAAAACACAATTAAGTAAAATAGTTTAACTTAGAAGATAATACACCGAGTGTTCACTGACAGATGTATAAACAGCATGTAGATTATTTAACCAGAGTATCATCTCCACGAAGAGGGATGAAGTCATGACACATGCTATGGCACCTAAGAACACTAGCAAAGTAAAACAAAACAAAAAGAAAAGGTTAAGTACTGTGTGCTCTGCTCACCCAAGGTATCAGAATAGTCCAGTTCATACATATAGGAAGTGGGTTGGCCGCCCCAGAGCTGAGGGCCACATCAACTGTTGGGGGAGGGTCACACGATAGGATTTTGGAAATAGTAGTTATAGTTGTACTACAATACTGTGACTGTAACTGAGTTCCACACTAATAGTGGCTAAAATAGTAACGTTGGCACCCCTACTAGAGTGTAAGGAGCCCCACGGACATAGTTAAAAGGTAGAGGATATCTGTCATAAAAGCAATAGCTTGATCGCAAGTTAAGTATGATGACCATGTAACATGGCATCTTAGGTAGGACACTCTTGAGAGGAAAGAGGACTATTAATAATTACACAGGGACAACAGGTGTACAGTGGGCCTGTCTCAGGGTAACCGGAACATGGGGCTCCTCTCTATTCAAAGCAACCAGTTCCTCAGGGCTGAATTCAAGTCCACAGTTTGGGGCCTGGCAGAACAGTCAGTATTTTCTTTAGGGACACAAGTTGTCAAAAACATGATAGCTTTTCATTTCTTTGTATAAAGAAACAACACACAACTACATGGTAAAGCTTCCTAATCAAAGATTTTATACAGGAATTAGCATATTACTAGGTTTTATAAAGAGGCATAATTTGACATTTTAGTAAGCCATATCTTAAAACACATTTGCACTAAGTCCTAAGATCAAACCAGTTTTTATCAATCTACATTTTTATATATATTATAGCTCTATAGGTTCACATACAATCTTTTGTACTCATATTGACTACAGATATTTGAGCCTGAAAAAAAAATCTTAAAATCAAATTTGAATTACTGAGAAGATTAGTGATGGATATCTTACCCATTATTTATGCGCTAAATTTAATATTAATGGCCTACAAACAGATTAACTTAAATGGTCCATACCTTACATGAGAAGTTCCGATGTGGGATGTTTCTTGCTAATTCTGCTATCTTGGGTTTATTCTGCAGACTCTTGGTTGGGTGATATTTTTTCAATCTTATTCTATTGTAATAGTGATCAGCGAAGTTACAGTAATTCTGTTTCTGCATGCACTTGCCAAGGTGAGGAATACTACACTTCAAAGCTCGAAGAAGTAATTTGGTCGTCTGCTGCATGGCAGCAAAGTTCCTGGTTTTTGCCAGCACGCGAATGATTTCACACATAGAATTACACAGTAATGGCATCTCAGAGCATTTGAGATCTTATCCCCCACCTTTGGGGTCATTAGCCCCTTAGGTTACAAATAACGGCAGACATCTGATAACTTAGGTTAAATAAATTTAAAAAGGTGTATGAATTAAAGTTCATTCAAATCGTACTTCTTGGCAGGTCTGACTTAACCGTGTCATCTGTAAAATCAGTTTTACTAGGTTCAAGCTATGCAGCAGTGATTCTGGTGAACATATGGACAAACTAAAACAAAAAACAGAAAACAAGAAACAAAATAAAAATTTGCAAATAAGTAAATGGTTTTAATGTGAATCTCAGGAACTCAGGGTGTTCAAAAGCAAAATAGGTTTTATCCTACATATGTAAAAGACAAATAGGAAAAGCCTGAATTACTTAATAAAAGGGGGATTAATATTTGTTGAGTGTTGGCTAGGTGCCAGAGTCTTTTCATCTATTTTCTACTTAAACTTCACATGTACTTGATGAAGAAGCTCTGGTGCTATTCAACATACAGGTGATCCAACTGTGGATCTGGGAGGCTTAAGAAATTTCCCTAACTCACTTTTTACAGCAAAAAAGTTAAACTGATTTGGCTCCTCACCTTGTACGTGGGCTATTGGGCTTAACCATAAGAGGATAATTAATTTAGAAAAACTTTTAAGATGCACAAATAAACCATAGAGTCGTCTTTGGTTTCTACTGGAAGGTAAGTTCATTGTAACCTCCACAGTCAGAGACCCAGGGTTAGGCCTTAGGCTTTGCATGTTACCTGCATCTGGTCTCAATTTCTCCACTTGTAAAACAAAAATGACCACACCGTTTACTTTCTGGTGTTGTTTCGTGAAAAACAAAACAAAACAAAACAAAACAAAAACCCAAAAACAAACAAACAAACAAAAAAAACCCAGACAATTTATGTCAAGAACTTAGTGTAAGCACCTGGCACATAGCAGCCACTCAACAAAAGGTGGTTAATATTAGCATAGGAATATTTTAGGTATGCTGAACACTGTTGGGTGTCATTAGAGACTTCTTCTCTAACACATTCTATAGTAGCACAGAAACACTGCATCAGTTTCACCACAGATCCCATCAGCTATGAAGCCCCTCCCCGCTTAATTTCTTATGTCGCAGCAAAATAATGGACCAGTGGAGCAACAGCCTAGAAGAAAAATGCTCCCAAATCGCTTATCTATCCCCATAGCCTCGAGCCATTCATCCATCATCTGCACGCAGAAGACTGTGCCAGGATAGCGGTGGGGTAGACAAATGGGTGTTCCCAGGAGAACCTATTCATTTCCCGGTGCAACTGTGCATCCCAGGGATGTGGGAGAACGGTACCGATGACCATGCACAGAAAAGACAGGGACCAAAAGGGGGCCCAGGGAGCTGAGGAATGGCTGGAAGGTGGTGGGCAGAGGAATCAGGAAAGGGGACCCTCCAGCAACCCTTCCATACGTACGCAAACTGAAAGACCGGCTCTGGACACAGACGAGTGAAGGCGGAGAAGACAAACGTGAGAACCCGTAGCTCTCAAGGAGCTGCAGTCCCCTCAGCCTGGTCCACTCGACGTCTGCGCTCAGCACCCAGCCAGAAAGGCAACCTACCACGCGCCGCCCAGAGCTAGTTTGCAGCTCGCCGCTTTACGTAACACCAATCCAGCCCGAGGAGGGAAGCACATTTCGCCATATTTATTATGGTCAGGAATGGGGTTTTTTTCTTTTCTTTCGCTTCCTGGATTTACTAGTCTCAAAGGACACCTGTATTGTGTTGGTTTGTTTTTTTTTGTATTCTGGCGAGCGAGAGACAAAGAGAGGAAGAAAAAAACAACGAGAACCCCCCCTCCCTGTAGCTGCTCCTCAGGTCCCTCCCACTCAGGCTCGCCCTCACTCAAGATGGCTACCAGAAAACTGGTGCAATGACGTGACGCTGCTGTCCTGGTTGCCAAGGAGATGCGAATACCGGAAATGCGGAATTCGGGGAGGGTGCACGCACGGGCTGTGGGCGAGAGGCCGGGCGTCGCAGGTCCTGACAGGGAAGAAGTTGGCAGGTCCTGACAGGGGAGAGCCGCGGCGGAGGCGTCTCCGCGTCCAGTCAGCCCTGATGATGGAGTCGCAGGTCGCGGCCGCCGGGGCTGGAAGGACAGAAGCAGACGCGGGCAAGGCTCCCACGATTGGCAGTGCCACCCGGGGGCCGGTGGTTTCGGCGCCCAGGGGGGCCGTCCGGTGGCGGCTTCTGCGACAGGTAAGGGCGAGCGCCCGCCACCCCGCCGCTGGCCACTCCCTCAGGTGCGCGGCCGCCGCCGCCTCTCCCCGCGGCTCCCCGCCGCGCCTCGCACTTTGCCTTCGCGGCGCCCCCTGGCTCCGTCTACACCGTCCCGCCGCACAAACGGGGAGTCTGGCGGGGTGGGCGAGCGGGACCGCCTTGGCCGAGGTCCCGGGAAACTCAGATCCGGGTAGAGAACCCTCGTCCGTCCCGGGGGTGGGACCGCCGCCCCTTGTCGCGGGCCGCTCTCCTTGACGTTCTTAAGTCCCCGCCGGTTGTTGTCCCCCACTTCCTGGGTGCTCCCCTTGGTCCTGCATCTCTGGACGTCCGCGTGGTTGTCTGATGGAATGGTGACACCGCACGCGTTTCCGTGTGTTTTCTATCAGAGAGTAGAGGGAGTAGGGAAAGCAGTCGCTTTCCCTTTTCCCGCCACGCGAAAGTCAGGCGTTTATCGTCAAAGTTTGAAGTGATCGTTGGGGACGCTCGCAGCCCAAGAGGTACCAACGAATCCAAATGTGTTGGCTCCTATTTTCCAAACTAATCCTGTGAAGGCTGTTGTGTTGATGAGTTTCCTTGGTCATTGTGTCTCGTCCCAGCAATAGAGAAATCACTCAGCCAGTGGCTCAGAGCACTGAGTCCTTAGTGTATTGTTTTACTTAGCTATTGCTAATAGCAGCCAACCCCTTGTCGTATGTCATACAACTTTTGTGAGCCACCTGGTAGTTTATTGATGTAGGTTGTGGTCACCTGCGTGGTTTTTAATATTATGTACTTGGTCCTTATACCCGCGGTTCTTTGCTCAGTTGGCTGGCATGTTCTCACAGTTATGGTAGACGTCTAAGAGAGCAAAAGGCACATTTAAAATCCCTGCTTCCCTGATGTCTGTTAACATGCTGTATCACTTTACTTGTATCACTACTGTGGCAATATGCTAGACAGAGCAATTTAAGAAAGGAAAGCTTTATTTTGGGACACAGTTTGGTAGTGCAGATGATAGCAGGAAAAGTCAAGGCAGCTGGATCCTTAAGCAGCTGGTCACACTGTGTTAGCAGTCAGGAAGAAGAGAGCAGTGTTTTAGTTCTGTTTTTTTAGTTCAAGACCCCGTCTGTGAAATCATGATACCACAATTGGAGTGTGTCTCTCCACCTCAGTGAATTCAATCAAGAAAATCCTTTACAGGCTGGTGTAGTAAATATTGGTTATTAGTGTTTACTGTTAATCACATATAATTATTACAGCAGCTATTATTATTTAACCAGCATCATATCATAAAAGACACAGACACCTGTTAGATTTTAATATGCCTTAAACTCTGGCACTGGGCAGAAACTACCCTCCTAAGCTATCTTTTACCTTCTGCCCCACATCCCATGCCCACTGCTCTAATAATTCCTAACAGGCCTACCTCCCATCATATAGCCCACAAATACTTGCCCGTGTTTCTCATCTGGGCTGCTTCCCTCCATCACTGATCCTTACAGCAGGCACCTCCCAGCTGCTTGCTCTTGTTCATGCTAACCCATGGCAGCTCTGCCTCCAGAAGAGGAGAAGAGCTCTACTTTGCCTCTGTTCCCTGACTTCTCTTGTGACCTCCTCTCCTCCAAGCCCACGAAACTTAGCTTGGTCTAACTCTCTTCTGCCCTGCCCAGTGTGTAGGCAATTATTTACCCAATCAGGGTCAGCAAACATCATTTCGGATAAGTGATTGTCTGTTCATAAGAGACGGCAAGCAGACCCTGCCTCAGGGAGCAGAGTAGTTAACAACCAAATACGAAGCACTGCAGCATGCCGTAACAACAGGCACGGCAAGTGGTCAACTTGATGAATTGCCCCTCATGTGCTTCCTGGGACCCTTAGACTCCTCTAGTTCTTGTCAGGTTGGTAATCACTATGGACCATGGCATAGGCTGTTAGCTATGGAAGGAGGGAAGACTCGTGGGGAAAAGTCACACTGTGGGAAAAGTACTCTTTTTGTGTGTGTCAGGGAAGAAATGATTTTTTTTTCCTGTAATAATTCAGTCTGTTCCAACAGGCTAAACATTTGTGGGCTTTTTGTAAGCATTTAAAGTGACTGAACAATTTATTCATGCCTCATCTGTACTCAGGAGCAGAGTGTGAAGAATCTGATGAGGGCTAGAAAGTTGTGACTGTACTCAAGTGATAAAACACTTTGCATGTGCAAATCCCTAGTTTTGATCTCTACCACCAGGCATGGGATGTTCTTTCTCTTGTGCACACTTTCATGATGTGGGTTTATTTTCGCCTGCCCCCTCCCCCCATTTGTCTTTCTGTACTACTCAGGATTCCAGTGGTGTCTCCAGTGGCATTACCTATTGAGTGCTTACTCTGGAATTGACATTTTTGAGAGAAAACTGTCTTACTAGTACAGTATTGTTTCTACGTTATGTGACAAATTGCTGACTTTTGACTCTAGTGCCTGCCTTAACTAGAATCTGTGTATGATCAGCAACTAAGGAAGTTACAGGTGCTTTATTTTCCTTTTGTTGAGTCTCTTCTGATAGCAGTGATGACTACTTGCAGTTCAGGCTTTCAACCTCCATCCAGTTAGTGGCCCTGAAGGAAACATCTGTTTTCCCTAATAAATAATTTCTTCCAAATGAGTCTTGTAGGCCACATTTGGGAATTGTTGTGCCCAAGAGCATGGAGCTATTTGGCTAATCTGGGTCATCAAACTGCTTTAACAGTCTCAGCAGAATTACATAAAGAAGAGGAGGTTGTCAAAATGAAGGCATACATCCACAAAACCACAGACACCTCTGGCATGAAGCTCTCTACCGAGAGGGCTGAACACTTGGCTGAGGAATCTGACTAATAGACTGTCTCAGAGTGTAGTGTGAAGCAGGATGCTATGTGTGAGACTCTCAGTGCTAGCTGAGACCCCTGATTTTAGGCTCCGTTCTGCCCTTGACTTTGTGTGGTGATGAACACTTTATTGGACATCAGTTTTTCATTGTAAGCAAAGGACCAAGGGCAGGCTTCTGTCAGACTCTCCTACCTTTGATGATCTTTCCACTTTGTAGACTCAAGTTTTGGAGTGCTCTCTGCTAACCCTTCAGGTTTCATTGGCATCTGTAGTGACTTCCCATATATTTTCACCTCTAATATTTATAATTTGAGTTTTTTTGCTTTGTTTGTTTTCTTTCCTGTTTTAGGTAGGGGTTTACCCATCTTACTTATCTTTACAAAGAATCAACTTTTAGTTTGGTTGGTTTTTTCTGTATTCTCTTTATTCTTTTAGTCTGTCTCATTAATGTCTGCATTGATTTTAATTATTCCTTGTTTTCTAGTGCTTTTAGATTTGGCTTTTTTTTAAGATTTAACTTTTAATTGTTTGTATATGGGAGGTGAGCTTGTGTAGAAGAGTACAGGTGCCAGAAGAGGGCATCAGATCTCTTGGAGCTTATGTTACAGGGCATTGTGAACCACCTCCTGTGGGTAGTAGGAACTGAACCTAGGTCCTCATGATTTTATGTTCTTAACCTCTGAGGTGTCTCTCCAGCCCCTGAATTATTATTACTTGTTTGAGGCCTTGAGTTATAAAATCCCAGCATGGAGAAGGGAAAGCCCCACCCTAACCAAGAAGCTATTTCAGTTGATAATCTGTTGTGAAAAGAAAAGTTTTCTCCAATGGAGTATCACTGGGCTTATCAACCACTCTTCAGGCCAGCCTCATACCCTGAAGTAGTTGGCCAACATCAAAAGGACTTTATGGTTTTCTAGGGTGCTTTTTGTTTTGTTTTATTAGGTTTGTTTGTTTTTAAGATTTATGTATTCACTTTATGTATATGAAGGCTTTGTCTGGATGGATGCCTGCACATCAGAAGACGGCATTAATCCCATTACACTTGTTTGTGAGATGTCATGTGGGTGCTGGGAATTGAACTTGGGACCTCTGAAAGAGCAGTGCTCTTAACTGCTGAGCCATCTCTTCAGCCCCCTGTTTGGTTGTTTTTACTTTTATATATACATATTTTTTTCTTGAAGTTGGGTGGGTAGGGAGATGGAAAGGATCTGGGAGGAGTTTGGAAAAGGGAAAGGGTATGATCAAAATATATTATATGAAAAATATTTAAATAAAAATGTTTTTGAATAAAAACAGAAATCCCCATAAAGATAAATTTATCTCAGTTAACCCAAATATGTTTTTTAAAAAAAATTATTGAACTGTGCATACTGAAAACTCAGTAATTACATGGAACTGAAAAATCATAATCATATTAATTACATAATTTATAATTAAACTAATTATAAAAATTAGAAATACATACATTAAAGACCTTGAATTGTATCACTAGTTTATTTTATTTTTAAATTTTTTATTTTATTTTAGTTCTTTGAGACAAGGGTTCACTATGTTAGCTCTGGCTGTCATGGAGCTCACTATGTAGACCAGGCTGGCCACAGACTCAAAGAGATCCATCTGCCTCTTCCTCCCAAGTGCTGGGATTAAAGGTGTGTGCCACACATGGGACACAGTGGTTCCTGTCTATAATCCCAGCACTTAGGGAGGCAGAAACAGGCATATCCCCGAGTTGGAGGCCAGCCTGGTCTACAAAGCAAGTCCAGGACAGCCAAGGCTACACAGAGAAACTGTCTCTGAGATTACAGGTGTGTGTCTCCAGGTCTGGCTCTGTTTGTTTTTTAATGTAAGCACCCATAGCTGCTTAGCAGTACCTCAAGGTTCTAGAAGTTACATTTCATTTTGAATTAATTCTAGGAATATTTTAATTTCTACTATGACTTCTTCAATGACCTTCTGGTCATTCAAAAGTTTTTTTTTTTGGTTCTTAAGTGTGTTTAAGTCAAATAATTTTTTCCACTAATTTTTTACTTGGTTAATTGCGTTTCTAATGTCCAACATTTCTTTTTTTGTTTGTTTTGTTTATTTTTTGTTTTCGTTTTTGTTTTAAGATAGGGTTTCTCTATGTCGCCTTGGCTGTCCTGGATTCACTTTGTAGACCAGGCTGGCCTTGAACTCACAGAAGTCTGCCTGCCTTTGTCTCTCTGAGTGCTGGGATTAAAGAAGTACATTTTTTAAAAATATGTATTTCCAATCCGGTCATGATGGCACATGTCTTTAAACTCATGACTTGGAAGGCAGAGGCAGGTGGAGCTCTGAGTTTGAGGCTAGTCTGGTCTACAATAGTGAGTTCTAGGACAGCCGGGGATATACAGAAAGACCCTGACTCAAAAAAAATCATCAACATATTATGTAGAATGTATTACATATTACATAGATATATGATATGTATGTGTATATAAATAATACATAATTTTATACACTTTCCCAGTGAATTTGTCCTCTATGTTGGTAACTTTTTCATCCTCTTGTTGACTTTTATTGTCCATTTCCCTTTGTTTTGCTGACTCTCTTCTCCAGCTCTTGGATTGAAATTTTTGTTGTCACTTTCGTTTTTACCAGTAGACATTAGAAATCTTCATCCTGTATTTTATCTACTCAGTATTTTTGAATTCAGTGAAGAATTGTAGTATTCTAGAGGTCATGCTGCCTTTCAATGTTTCTGTGATGTGGTCTGGGAATGTTGCTTTGACTCTCAGTTTTGTTTGAAGATCTTACTGAGCAGCCTACTCCAGAGGCTCAGTCTTCATACTATCCAGTGAGGACACAAAATTAATTACAACAGCTACAGAATCAAGTTGCACAAGTTATAGAAATTGTTTAAGAGCCCACCAATTCACTGACAATGACTATAAGCCAAAGAATATGAAAACTACTATGAAATTGTAAATTATTAGGGTAAATGTAGAAATACTAAGTGAATAGAAAAAGGAAGGAGGCAAAGAAAGAGGAAAATGTAGAGAAGCTGAGTTCAGGAGACAGAAAGAAAAGGAAAAGTTGTGCAGAATGTTCTGAAGGAGAATAGGAAGGAGTAAGTATTAGAAAAGATTCAAGAAGATATCCAAGAAAGAGAAAATTTGAAAGCAATTTAAAAAGAAGAATAAAAAGGAAAAATAGGAATTTAAAGCTAACAATTAAAAGTTCTGCAAGATGAAGCCAAGGGCTTGCTGCAGCAGCATGTGTGCTAAAACTGGAATGGCCGGGATGACTAGCACAGTCCGGCACAAGGTGACACATAAATTGTAGAAGGGTCCAAATTAGGAAAAAAAAAAAGCAAAGTCAAAGTACTCCAAAGAATACAGAAAATACAGAAGGCTTAATTTTTTTTTTCTTTTTTCTTTTCCTTTTGGTTTTGAGGCTGGAGATGTTCCTTCCTCCCTCTGTCCCCCCTTCCCTCCCTCTCTCTCTCTCCCTCTCCAAGCTCATCTTGTGTAATTCTTGCTGTTTCTCCAAGGAGTCTCACCTTGTGTTGCGGTAATACTATGTAGAGACAGCAGGGAGCACCCAGTGTGCTAGTTGCTGCAAGTCTGATCACTGAGGTCTTCAGGGATGGGCAAATACACATGTACAGTTTTAAAAGGCAGAAGATGGAAAGCTTCATTAGGTTATGGTTTTCTCCCATTTGGATGTGGACCTGTAAGGTTTTTGCTAAAACCATTTAATTTTATATCTATCTCTTTTCTCCAAACATGGAAAACTAAAACCAGTAAAACTAGTCATTTGATTTCTCCTAAAACAAGTAAATACATATACACACATACACACACAACCCCAGAAGCACAAACACACACACATATATACAAACATATATATGTCACACACACGGGTACACACACATGTGCATACACAAACATACTGTGCTGCATGTGCACACACGTACACACGAACAACACGTGTACACACATGCACACAGATATGCACATACACATGCAGAGCCTAATAATAAGACTTGCATTAGTTCTAGCTGTTAAAGGTGTTACTTGTGTTCTCAGGTCCTCTAATTAACAGATGCCCAGGAGAAAATCAGATATAAAAGCCTTACTAACTCTTGATTCCCCCCTTTTTAAGGTATCACACTGTTTAACTGTTACTGTCTTCACTGCTTTCCAGCGCCTTCAAGTGTTTTGTCCATTTTCTCCGTGTGTTCAGCGGGAAGTTAGTCTGAATAATCTAATCCAGTAGTATTGGACATGAAATTCCCCTTATCACTTAAAATTTGCAAACTAGCCTTATACTACTTATATCATATAACCCCAATGTTTGATTTTATTTCAAAGGTTCTGAGGCAGAAGCAGCTGGATGACTGTCTGAGACATGTGTCTGTGAGAAGATTTGAATCGTTTAATCTGTTCTCAGTCACAGACGCCAACAAAAGGGGAAGTGAAGAGGAGGATGGTTCCTGGGTCCAGTACACGAGCGTCTTTTATCCCGAGTACAGCATCTCCGTAAGGTGAGAGTTGTCCGAGTTCAGGTCATAGAAGGAGACCTGGGCACGCAGAGCTCCATGCCTGCTGTGGCTTTGCAGCAGTCTTTATTAGAACTGAGCTGTGAAACTTGATGTTAGAAAATCCCATTGCCTTAGACAGATTCTCTTATGCTTCTATCTCATAAAACCACGAGTATCAAATGAAAGCATCAACTTTAAAGTACTTTTGAAACTTCAAAAAGTCAAGCAGTTTGGCCCAATCGCTTCACCAGAGATAATCTCATTCTACTTTAGTTTATTGCTACTTTATTTCTAAAAACGCTTTTATTATTTATCTTATAAATTATATATTTATGTGTTGTCTGTAAGTCTGTGTTCTTATAAAAATCAACATCTAATGAAGACGTGCTTGTTTGTCTCAGTCACTGTTCTGTTGCTATGAAAAGACACCATGATCACGTCAACTCTTATATAAGGAAGTATTCAGTTGGGGGTGCTTGCTTACAGTTTTAGAGAATCAGTCCATGATCATCATGTTGAGAAGCAGACAGGCATGGTGCCAGAGCAGTAGCTGAGAGCTTTATGTCCTTATCTTTAGGCAGCAGGCAGAAAGAGAGAGAGAGAAACAAAGAGAGACATGAGAGACAACATCCACCTTTGGTAATACACCTCTTCCAACAAGGCCACACCTACTCCATCTAGGCCATACCTCCTAATCTTTCTCCAACATTTCCACCAACTTGGGACCAAGCATTTAAATATATGAGTTTCTGGTGGCCATTGTCATTCAAACCACTTTTAACTGAGATTTAAATTTTATGCAGTGCTTGAAAATAAATTCAATATTTTTAGAAACTTAAAAAACAATTAAGAATTTTGCTACCTTCACTGGGTCTTGTGTTGTCAGACTAGAAAATAATTAATTTAAGGATATAGTGAGTTTCAAATGAGGGGTTCATTTATCTATTCTCTCATAGCATTTGATTATGATAAAAGGCCAAGTTCTTTGAGGCAGAGAAGGCTGAAAATAAAAACAGTTTTCTAAACTATACTTCAAGTGGTAGTTATCTGAAAATCAAGCTTTGGTATTCTTCCCATTCATGTTTTGTTGCTCTTAGAATATGACCAGAAAAATAGTAGGAACTTCAGCTAAAAATACTGATTTCTGAGAAGCATGCAGACTGTTCTAGTTCTTAAAATTGTTTAAGAGACAAGAAAGTTGCAAACTGAAATAACAAAAATACCACTTTTACTCCTAGTTATAGTCTGGTATTTTGCAGTAATGCTGTAGTTGTTTCATTTTTATAAAACCTGCCTTTTGTGACAGGATCTCACATTCCGAGGTGAGGGCTATTCAGTGATACCAACTGTAAGAAGAGAAAGGAGCATCTGGAGGGCAAGTGTGATTGAATATAGCCTACAGGAGTCCTGGAATGATGTTAAGAGGTTCTTGCCATGAAGGATATCTGTTTATAACACTTTAGGTTAAGGTTTCTAAATTTTCAAAGGTGCCAAAAGAGTTAAACATTTGGATAATACTGATTGAGCTGAGTGGTGTGAAAAAACAGGTGTAAGGATCTATTTTTAAATACGTGTTTTATTGACTACAGTAATTAAAAGTATTTTGTGAACTTGCCTTTACAGTCATTCTGAAATTCTAACTAGAGTATGCCAGTTCACCCTTTTTTTTTTTTTTTTTTTTTCTTAATTTGAGATAGGTCTCACTACATGGCCCCTGGTTAGGCTTGAACTCACAAAGATCCAGCTGCTTCTGCTTCTCTGTGTGCTGATAGTAAGGCGTGTGCCAGCACATTCCTTCACTTTGTTTGATGTAGATCATCTATTTAGTCCTTGCTCAGAAAATAAAGTTGTTACATATTACTAAGTGCCTGGTAATGAGCTAGGTGCTTTGGTATTTTCTGTGTCCAGGAATCCTTATGCTACATTTGGGAAGTAGGAATAAGGTGGTTGCCAACTGGAAGATAGTATGTGTGAATTGAAAAAGATGGGAAACCGGAGTGATCCAGAGCGTTCAGGAATAAAGTTTATTTCATTTTTTACTTTATGTGCATTAGTGTGAAGGTATCAGATCTCTTGGGAGTGGAGTTACAGACAGTTGTGAGCCACCATGTGGGTGCTCACAATTGAATTGAATTGAATTGAACCCCGGTCCTCTGGAAGAGCAGACAGTGCTCTTAACAACTGAGCCATCTCTCCAGCCCCCCAGGAATAAACTTTCAAAGCTATTTTCTTGCATCTTCTTGTGATAAAGAACAGAGTAAGTTGGAGCTGGATGTTTCCTGAGTTTTCAATGCTCAGTAATGTTGGCTGCTGAGAATGTGAGGTTTTCACTTGTTGACTTGTTACCAGTAAGGCCTCGTTATCCATCCACAGGGATGCCCTGGCTTATCACCTGGAAGCTTGGGTATTGTATGGACTGAGCTTTTTCAATAACACGGCTCTTTGCAACGACTCATTTTTGAAAGAATAAATGTCTCTAGAACTATGGCAGAGTCCTTACTGAGCTAAAAATTTGGCCTTGAGGGTTTCCAGTTTTATCTCCCTCTTTGTTTTCTGCTTTGTATCCTTCTACATTATCCAAGCAAAAATAATACCTTAACTACACAGAATTCGTCAGTTGAACCTGGTCTTCAATAGCTAGTCAGAGTAACACTGAGGAGGGCTGACAGCTGATGTCTACTAGGTGATATCACTTTCTAAGTGGTTTCTATGTGTTAGCATCTTTAATACAATAGCCAACTTAGGTGAATACTATGACATCATCATTTGATAAATGAGGAATAACCTGGGTGAGGTCGCACAGCTGGTCATGCAGTAATTTGTGCCTGTATTTAAACAGGTAATCTGTCTCCACGGTTTGTACTTTTAAAGCACTGCTCACAGATAGCTACAGGCATAGTTCAGTGACTTCAGCGTAACTTCCCTATTGATAACCTCTCTAGATGGACACAGAGTCTATACTTTTAGCTTCTGCATAATCCTGCCTCTTAAATTGGAGCCTAGGTATGTTGATTTCCTTAATCATTATTGTGATCATCAACTTTCTGCTTTATACACAACCCTGTTATGCTAAAGAATGTTAATGAAATTACCAGAGGAGTCTAGATGGAGGATTTTTGCCAAAAACAGTTTATTCTTCCTCATTACAAATTTTGTTCACATATTTTTACCTATTTACTGTTTTCTCTTAATTTCTTTTAACTTCTCAATATGAACTCCATTCTTATTTTTTTCTATCTCATATTAGCACTTTCAACCTGTTTCTGTAAGATTTTTTTAGCAGTGGTATCTGTTTTCTTCAGTATTGAGTGATGGATATTCTGAAATAGCTTTTGACTGTTTTAGAACAACCAAAATAAATTTTAAATAAAGTATATACATACACATTGATAATTATATATACTATATATCTATATATAAATATATAAAATTATGTAATATAATAAAAACAAAATATATAGAGGTATTTTTAAATTATAAAAATTGATATAAAATTATATCAATCAGTCAATATATATTTCTATATCTAGAAATAATTTCCCATTCTATATTTTAAAGTTTGTTAAATACAACATTGTGAAATGATTAGAGGAAAAAAATAATTTTAGGTAAATTCAAACAGAATAGTGTCTTGTATATAAATAAATAGAAATATGATATGCTTTTCCCAAGGAGCTAAGTATATGAAAATGAAACATTAACAAGAAAGAAGGAAAGTTAAGTAGGCTGTCCAAGAGTTCTCACCATATGGTGCACGACTGATTTCCAAATAATTAAAAACTTGATATGTGTCAGTTTAAAAGCACTTTTTCTGGAAAGTGCTGAGGGATTGGAGTTTAAACTGCATCTGGAAGTAATAGATGGTTTCTGAGAAAGGGAGAAATCATTCCTGATTTCACAAAATAGATAGGTTGAAAACATGCACGGCCAAACTACCAGGGGCTACTGAGAAGGGCATCTTAGCCTCTAGGGAGAGGGTCCTGTAGGCTGAGTGGTTGCTGTGCACTCCTGCAGACTGTAAACATGAGCCCACTGTGTGTCTTGCTCCCCATCACCTGAGAGTTCCTGGGTCAGCTCAACAGAGGACATGGGTGATTCTTGCCTGTTTGTCCTTGGCATCTGTTCCCCAACCCTAAACTTCCCTGTGCCTTGAGTTCTAGCCCTTTGAGATTTTATTAGACTCAAAATAAGTATCCCAGGGCTGCAGAGATGGCTCAGTGGTTAAGAGCGCTATCTGTTCTTTCAGAGGTCCTGAATTCAATTCCCAGCTCACAACTATCTATACTGGGATCTGATGCCCTCTTCTGGCATGTGGGTGTATGTGCAGATAGAGCACTCATATAAAATAAATATATAAAATCTTTAAAAATTAAAAAAAAAATACCCCAAAGATAGTAAATAACTAAATGATCGTGAATTTCAAAGTATCTTATTGTTGTTTAATTACTAAGCTATGTAAACTATAAAATTATAATTACAGAAAATTAAAATTTTTGATCATTATTTTCTCTTAGCCTTGCATAATGGTACTTAAAATGAAGGAATAATGAATTTCTCATTGTAATTTTCATTAAAAGCAAAATTTTGGGTTGTTAGATCAAAGGTTAGATTATGAACTCCCCAGGATCAGTTGTCATTTCTGTGTGTTCCAGAATAGTTCAGTGTTTGGTTGAAAGTGGTTGAGACTGAGGAAGTGAAATGAAGGAAGTGTCACTCCTGCTTTGTTGCTTGAAAAGTCCTGTTTTTCTGGTGCTTTGTTTGTTGGAACTTTATAGATACAACTATTGCTGTTAGTTAGAGCCACACAGAAATCAACACTAGGCCAGAAAGTGCTTCCACTAAAAAACTGTTATTAAAAATTACCTCCACCCTCTCGTATACACTGTGATTTATTATTGCATAGAACTTACTGTAGAAAGACTAGATATTTTCTCCATATGTTATTTTTATAACTTAATTTCCCCATGGCCAAATTTAGATGTTTTGGAATCAATAAAATACTT